GAGCATGGCTTGGTCTCTTCATCAGCAGAATTGTTCCCTCTGGGAATCCTCCTTTGCTCTCCAAGTCAGGATTTTTAAGGCTGTGTGGGGTTCTTGGTTTTACTTTTTTTTCATCCTTCCTCTCCTTTATCACCTGAGGCAGTTTCCACTAGTCCTTTTCCTGCCTCTCTACTGAAGAAAGTTTCCCAGAAGGGATTAATCTGTTCCAAATATAGGTTCCTAGCAGGTTGTCCCATCTTTTGTTTCAGGATTCATCTGCAAGCTCTCAGTTAATAGATGCTTATTTTTTTCCTTAAAAAAAAAAAAAAAAAAAAAAAAAAAAAAAAAAAAAAAAAAAAATTAATCTGCACCTGCACATAGCTTTATTTTAATTAGGCTGGTGCTATTGAAGAGTGTCCTTGATTGACTGATGGGGCAGAGATGATATAAAAGTCACCACTGCAAAAAGTGGGAGGTACAGCTATGTTTCTATCTCTCTTGTTGCTCACTTCATGCTGGGTAGTGCTCATAGAAACTTGCTGTGCACCACCATAGCTCGGCAGCCCAGCAAAATCTACCCTAGTAAAAGAGCTTTATGGTTCTTAGTCACTTTTTGTTACATCCCACCATGAAAAGTTCGGCAAGCACCAGAGCTGATGTGAAGGTGGAACCACGCTTCAAGAGCATGGGGCAGAGGCTACAGGGAGAAGGAGGAAGAAGCAAGACCTCCCCTTTCCTACAACAGTGTGTTCTCTGTTGATTTAGTTGTCTGAGGCATTGCTCTAACTTGCTGAAATGAATTGTTTCTGAGAACTGTGTGTAGATGGTGGTCCTCAAGATGTAAGCAGTAGCTGGATGCAGTAATTCTCCTTTAGTTATACCAATAATTTTTGTTAATGTAAGAATAATTTGACTAATTTAAGGCATAAACATTTTCCCCTTTCATCCTAACAAAGAAACAATGTAAATTTTTGTCAGTGCTTTTGGTTGCTTGGGAGGGTTGGTGTTTACTCTAATCACAGGAACCCTGAGGTTATGATGCTAATATAAATATGTTTATATTGTGTTTAAATATTTCCTAAGGTAATTGAGGTGGGAAATAGCTGGAAAAGCTCTTGTTGTGGCCAGTCTTTTATTATAAGAGTCTTCAAAGAAAAAAAAAAAAAAAAAAAAAAAAAAAAAAAAAAAAATTAGTGATTCCACATCCAAGGAAGACTTGTATCACCAGTATGCTAGGGTAAGGCAAGAGTCTGTTTCCAGAGACTTTGCTGTACATATCAATCAGTTCTTCCACTTAAGCTGTTGAGGGAGTTGCTGCGCAAAGCTGCTTTGTAAGTTATGGTAAGAGGCCAGTGTTTGCTGGTTTCAGATTTTTCCTCATGAAGCTACTTCTGTAACAGAGATCTGAAATAAGGTGAATCTTATACAAAGCTTTGGTCTCTCAGAGGGAAAACGGGTGAATTTGTAGATTCCCCTTAAATAGGCAGTACAGCTTCTGATGAGGACAATACCAGTCTAGCCTTTTTGTAGTAAAGGTAATTGTTGTTTAGTGCAGAACATCTTTTATGCATTTTTTCCCCTTCCTGATAAGTCTTCTCTAGGGAAGATTATCCTTATAATCCTGCTTCAAACAGAATAGAAGTAACTAAACCCAACATTGATTGTTCTCAGTTTAATGGAATACAGCATAAATAGTACAGAAAATAATGTACCACTGCGATTCCTCTGGGCACGTCTACATGCATAAAGGAGTGTTTCTTCGAAGTAGAGTGTCAGCTCTCTGACTCCAAGCTAGGAGAATTAAGAAATAAGATGTAGCGAAAGCAAACCAACAGCAAAAATGTGTAATTGTAGATATCTTTTATTAGGTCAATATAGTCTCTTCTCAACTCTGTCCCCACTGTTTTGAGCACATTCCCAGCCTCTTCACTTAATTTGATTGTGAAGACAGTTCTTGTAGTTGTGACTGGAGGATTCCTGATTGCTGGTCAGAAATCTTCTGTATTACATCCTGTGTTGATCTTCCCCTGAACTGCTTTTCTGAAAGTACATGGAAGACTTTGGAAGTCTGAAGTGCTTTAATAAATGCTTGCAGAAAATCTAGAGGTACCAGAGAGAATCAGTTTCTGTCTATATCTATTCACGCATTTGGAAACTATATAACAAATGTAACAACTAGACAAATTTTTCACATGTATGTAAAAAGCTGGAGCATATACAAGACTTTATTACTGCCTGTCACTATGCCTTAATGTTTACTTCCCTCTGCCTCCAGCTGCTCCTTGGTCCTGCATCTCACCTGTGTTACCTGTGGTTGCTGGCCTTCTGGTACTGGGATAGATAAACAATTCAACTACTGCTGCTTCCTGCTTTAAATTTTAACACATTGATTGGTTTTGCTTTCTTTTCTTTTAAGTCTAACACAGACATACAGTACAGCAAGTATGACTTTCTCTGTACTGTTTCACATAAACTTGGTCTCGTTTCAGGGAGAGTACAGACAGATAATTAAGTTCCAGCCTTTAGTGCTTAGATAATAAAACTATTTCTGAAGAGAAGTACAGCTTTTCATGTAACTAGAACAAATATTGAGTATGGAGACAAGACACTGAGACAGTCTGGAGATTTCTGAATGATTTGTGACAAGCCTCACTGGGAATTTATAGCACTGACTGATTTTTGTCTGTCAGCTTAGGGAGCGAACTACTTTTAATTGTGGTTAAAATGAGGTAGGTGGATATTGTCCACAACAAGAAATACTCTTTAGATTTGTGAAAGAATTCTGTTGAAATATCTTGTGAAGAGAAGCCCATTTAAGAATTTTCCTTTTACCTTTCCACTGACAGTGTGTCCCCTTTGCATGTTGAGTGTAGATTTTTTTTCATCCCCACCCTCTAATCCAGTTTTCTGCTGTGAATTTGTTTGATACCAATTATTTTGACAGCTGTTCCTGGGGTACTTCTGGCAACAATGATATCAATAATAGCTTTAACAAAGGAACTTTAACCAAAAAAATCACATTCTGTCTTTTACTTAAAAAAAAAAATCCATTTCTTCTATCATGGGCAGAGCAAAGCTTCCTAACTCCATCTACCAGGAGGAGATGGGAGTCTTGATGCCTATTAGAGAAATTGGATTAAGTTGAGTAGATCCTGTTCCCAGAAATATCCTCACTCATTACAAGTCAGTTTAGCGGGTTTGCATATGATTATTTTCAAGTCAGAACCTGAAAAAAAGGATCCGGTGGTTTTCCATGTATGATCCAGGAGGCTTCTGTCATAAAACTCAGCAATGGCTTTGCTTGATGTCTTCTCTCTTATCACTTGTCCTCTGGACTGTGCGAAAGAAAGCAGTGAGAGCACAGCATTGACAATTTTTATGATCTTCTGACTGAAAAGCATATGCCTACATAGATATCCATTTCACAGCAGATAATAAAACAATTTTTCCCTCTGAAAAGGAGCTATTCAGAATACATGTCTAGACAAAGTGGTTGCCACTTTTCAGAAAGAGAATTAATAGAATTTAGGATGAATGGTAGTGGCATAGTGTTACCAATATGAAGGGGAAGAGCATATATTTGAACAGTAAGTGTTTAGATGGGGACAGCAATCCTGAAGGTTAAAGAAGATAAATATGGCATGTTATCCACCACTCTTACATACAAACCCTTGTACTTCCTGCCTATTAGGGTTCTTCCCATCTTTGGTTCTGCAGGGTTTTTTTTCAAGCAGGATATGGCTTTTCTTTCATGTAAAGTCAGTGTTCTGTTTAGCTAGTTTTCTGTTATGTTATTTTATATTGAACTCTTGCTTTTGACAGAACATTAAAACTGCTAAAAGCCTGGGCGCTCTCACAACCTGACCTTGTAATTTTGATATTAATTGCTTTCTAGTGACCTCATACTGTAGAATGCTTAAATATTTTCAGATTCATCTATAATGCAACTTATTGGAGACATTAAGATCTTGCACAACTTGTCTTTCCATCCTTTTTCCTGCCTGTAGTGTAACTCTTTCACTTTGAAAGAGAACAGTTTAGTGCAGGTTCTTCACCTACACTGATTAAAACCGTGTTTGTAACCATGGTGTAAAGTCTCATTTGTTTCTTAATTTCACTTCAAACAATTCTGATGTTTTTCACTTGTTGGTTTTTCCTGAAATCATTGTAATTATTGTGTTACATGGAAATTAAGTAGCTCAGCTTAGGTGTTCTTGATGTTTATTATAATTTGTACTGGTTTTAATAAGGCCATGACTAGTCATGAGAAAAGTGTTTGGGGAATGCAATACAGAGATCATTTTCAGCTATTCTATTTCAGTGTATCTTTCACAGGTTTGAAAGATAGTTATTTCTGTTCTTTAGGATATTCTTGCTGTGTTCATAGGTTACATTTTGTTTGCTATTAGATGTCTGTTGTTGCCTACCACTTCAAATGCATGCCTCCTTGTGGGTGGTGATATTACTTATTTCTCAGAAAAGCAAACCTGAAAGAGAGGGAAGATGGAACATTGTCAATTTTGTACAAATTTGTAAATCCTCATTCAAGGGCAGTTACTTTCTTGAATAAAATGAAATTGTCTTCTGTAATTCAAGTTCCCTAAAATATGGATTATGTATTGTGCTTGTAGATTATTAACTGTGACAAAGAGAAAAATACTGTTGTACTAAGAGGCATTTGAGTTTTCATGGCCTATTCCTCCTCCACACCTGCTGGGCTGCTTATTTCAAACTGTCTTTTCAGACTCTTCTGAAAGATACCTACTTGTTTATAGAAACAGTCTCACTAGGAATCCCAGCAAAATGTTTATTACTTTTTAACTCTGTAATACAGAAATATCATGGAAGTCTAAGGAAAAATATTATTACTGCTAGATAAAGTGAGTAGAGTGAATATATATATGACAAATGCCAATCTCTTCAGTGCTTTTTTTTCTTGAAATTACTAAATTTTGGGGTGCAATGTTCCCTTTCTCCTCCCACCCGCAGTAAATGTATCATGTATTTCCTTTGATTTTTAGGCATTCAAAAGGGATGTTCTTGCTGATTCAAGAAAACATAGTTCTGTCCAGGACTCTACACTGGGGATAAGGACATGGGACGACTCCTGCCGGATTCCAGATGGTTCATTACAACTGACATCTTGGTTGACAACTGTGAAAAGGAACTTTGGATTATTTTATTTTACTTTTGTGGGAGACCACAATCCCCAAACTGTAGGATATATCAGGTATTAAGTCACAAATACTTACTTAAACTTTTCCATAATGTTATTTGGTTGTTAATTGTTTTCTGTGAAGGACTTCAAGCATTCAGATCTTATTCTTCATTTCTTTTAAGAAATGGAAAATTTTTGTTTTCACGTCTTGCACTGTAGCTGAGTAATGACAAGAAGTTGTATTTCATATTTCTTAAGGAAAATCGGGGTGAATCTGTTATAGCTTTAATCATTAGAGTTATCTTTATGTAGGATTTTAAACTACTATAAATTATTATAAATTGTAATTACTGATAATGGTGGTTATTATGCTAATTACCAAAGGTTTATCTATCTTTCTTATTTTATTGTTTTTGAGATAGTGCTTAATTTTATTAAGACTCCTTTCACTACATTTATTGTAGAATCATAGAACAGTTTGAGTTGGAAGGGACCTTAAACACCATCTAGTTCCAAACGCCCCTGCCCTGGGCAGGGCCACCTTCCCCTAGCCCAGGTTGCCCAAAGCCCCATCCAACCTGGCCTTGAACACTGCCAGGGAGGGGGCAGCCACAGCTGCTCTGGGCAACCTGTGCCAGGGCCTCACCACCCTCATGGTGAAGAATCTCTTCCTTAAAGAGATTAGATGTCAGTTTAAAACAGTTACTCCTTGTCGTATCCCTACACCTCTTGATAAAGACTCCCTCCCCATCTTCCCTGTAGCCTCCTTTAAGTACTGGGAGGCTGCTGTTAAGGTCTCCCCAGAGCCTTCTCTTCTCCAGGCTGAACACCCCAACTCTCTCAGCCTGTCCTCACAGGGGGATGCTCCAGCCCCCTCAGTATCTTTGTGGCCTCCTTGGGACCCGCTCCTTCTGTTGGGGGCCCCAGAGCTGAACGCAGTAGATAACTGTGCTTTAATTACACTTAGTAGGTAAGATAGTTCCTGCATTCAGAACTTGTTTAGTTGTTATCTGACAATTAGGAAGCTTAAAAGCTTTAATGAAATTTATGAATGCTTGCACACTTGGTTCATTATTATTCATGTATTTACTTTCAACCATTTAAAAATACAACTATATGTAATTCTCCCTTTTAAATAAGAAAAGCTTCCCTTATTTCTGTTGGAAGCTAGTTTGATTTGGAGTATGAATGCTCAGGTGTTTGTTTTAAAATACAGGAGGGATAATCTGCAGGCATCTTATACTGTAGCTTAGTTCTCATTTCTATAGATGTCTGTAATTATAAGCCTCTTGATAGAAGCGTTTAAAAAGAAAATGATCACTCTCTCTTCCTCTGATACAAGGTAGGAAAAAATGTCATAACAGGAGGGGGAGTCCTTTTTGCAGCAGTCATGTTTATTTTTGGTAGCTGTTTTGGTATGTAATCTTTAAAAATTAATGTTACTCAGTGATCTACTTTTTCTTTATCCTAAAGGTTCCATATTTCTTGTAGAATTTTAAAATAACCTTTTCTAATGAGGATGTCTGATATTCTTACTGTAAAAGATGAAACTGATGCAATGAAGGGTTCAGAAGCTGAATTTAAAGATACAGACCCAGTTGAAAACCTTATAAAATCAGGAAGTCAGGAGCAGATTCATGTGGAAAAGGATGAAAATTGTCCTGATAGCAAAAACAATATGCCGGTAAGAAGCTTTTAATTTTATTTTTCACTAGTATATCATGTTAAATGTCTGTGTCTTGTTCTTCTCCCCTTCACATGATCCTTTTATGTGTTTCTTTGGTGCAAGTCAGGAAAACTTGGCTAGTGTTAGGGAAGCAAGTAGCATGATTATTGCTTGCTCTCTCCTCCTTTGCCTCACTTCTGTTTATATTCATGTAACTACTAGAGTTGGTAATTTAACTGTTTGAAGTAGATAAGCAGTTTTTTCATGGGGACCAGACAGTTTGTCCATATTTGTGCTTTTCTGAGTGCACGTGTGAAGTTGTGTCTTTTCATTGTAGCAGAACAAGGAAAAACTTGGCACTCACCTGTCTTATGCTGTTGCTGAATCCTGAATGAGTTTCAGAGACTGGGCTGTGTTAAGAAGATGCTATGTAGTAATAGTGTGGTTTGATCAAAACACTAAAATGTTGAGCGCTGCTTGTATGAACAACACTACAGCACAGCTCAGCATGTCTGCCCTGGGTAGGGGTGACCAATCTAGGCTTGTGATCTGTGTGCAGCTTACAGGTGGCTCAGGTGTAACTTTTACAGCAGAACTGTAGAGCATAAGGTTCCAGTAATCAGATGTAGATAATCCAAATCCCCAGGTGTCAGAGGAATCAAGTCAGAAGAGCTCCTGAGGCCAGTAGGTCTGGATCCTGCTCTAGTCATCAGCAGAGGGTCCAGCCTCTTTCTCCCTACATCAGTGTTGGAGTAAGCTATCATCCCATCTTGGCTGCTAGCTGGTATTCCCTGTACCTTCTCTTTTCTTCCGTTCTTCACTGCTTGGCAATTTTGGTATGCGATTTATTAGGTAGGAAAGCTTGGGCAGTCCTCATGTGTATGCTGAAGAGCTGATGCCTATGAATGAAGTCTTTGCAAGGTGGGAGGGTACCTATGAAGAAATTGTGACATCAAATTTCAAGTGAGAAGGAGGTGGGCAAAATAGTATGAAAATGTCTTGTCTTAAAGGAGAACACACCAATAAGGATGAGTTAAGAATTTATGGAAGTGGATTTAATACCTCTGAGATTTAGTTGTGCACTTACTGTTTGTGCTCCAGAGTCCTGAACAGTAGGTCTCTTTCACATGGGACAAGCTAGATAGCTCCTAGCTGAGGCTGCTCACTTGGCCACTGAAGACTGGAAGTGTCTTACATGAGGTGAGGAGTTAAGGAAAGCACCCGGAATTTTCTGGCACAGCCTAGAAAACGGCAAATTTCTGAGAGAAAACACAGAAGCTTGTGTTTGACAAAAGCTAGTTTTCTGTAGGACTTTTGTGTCTTTGGATTAATAATAAACAATTTTCTGATAAAAATCCTGACTGGGGTATGGGGTATGTCGATATTCTCTTGGGGGCTGCAAAAAAAAAGGACAGCAGCTTATTAGATTCTTGTTATTGAGAATTGAGTAAAAGGTTCTTTAGGGAGTAGTTTTGTTCAAGACTAACAATTCAGTATTCCACTGAGTGAACTAAGCTCTATCTGCTATGTTAAATTGTTCCCAAATAAATCTTGTACACCACTGTAATAACAATACAGTCTTACACTTTAATATCTGCTGGCTTTATGAAGGCTGGCATCAGTGTAAATAGGTAATTTTATGGAAAAAATAAATCTTTAAAATAAAATACTTCTCCTGTAACATGAGAAATAACTGCTACTGAAGAGCTGGTAGATGTAACAGCTGAGCTGGTATTTTCTTTAATCAATTAATATCGTAGTAGTGAGCCTTAAAAATTAATTTACAGTTTGTTTATTTTATTACAGTTCAGTAACTTGGAAAAATTTTGTTCACATTTTCTCATTCAACAAATCTCATTCAGCAAATATTAGTGTCGAAATGTCTATGAGACTCAAGTGGCAAATCTGCTTTCCTGCAAACAAATGTTGCTCTATAGTCAGACCTAGTCTAGAGAAATGAATCTTTTGGTGCTGTCAGTGGCTGTAGGGGTTTTGGTGAGGGGGTTGGTTGCTTGGTTTTCTTCTTGTAGAGGAGTAATAGCTGGTGGCTGAAATAATTATGAACTGAACAACTGTGTAATGAAAGCTGTTTGATGGAGACAGCTTTACTGTCATCTTCATTTAGTGCGGATGTGAGTGCTGTGTCCAGGAGTCTCCCTCAGAATCACAACATTGCTGTTACACAAGTAGTGTGATTAAAAACTTGAGTTTGTAGGCTGAGGATCTTGATTTTCAGAGTGGTAGCAAGACAGTCAATTACAAACGGGAACCTTGCTAACTAACAGAAGCCCTTTGCAACAATTGAAGTCAACAAAAATTAATATCACTTGTATTATGGTAGCTGTTAGTGCAAATATATATGATACATATTTGAGGCTTTTTCATTGAAAGCATGTTTTATGCTAAAATACAAAAAAAATTTGGCCTGTCCATAGTAAACAAAACTTCTGGGAACAGTAGAGTCATCAGCAAGTTTTTAACTAGTGGATGATTAAATAGTTTGATTAGTGAAATTTCACTGGATGTACTACTTTTCATTAAGTTCAGGTTAAATGTTACCATAGTGGTAGGGAAAGGAGCAAAGGATTTGCTGAGAAATGTTAGAGAAAATGATCAGAAGCTTATCTGAATTTGTTTACTAATTGAGTATAGCAGAAGATGGGTTGGGGGGTGGGAGTTTCATGGGGTTGAGTTTTGGCTTTCCTAGCTAGTTAATTGCTTAATAGGTTTTATACTTATTTGGCAAACTACAATAATATTCCCGAGTACAGTTATCACTCTATTTCTAACTTCTTCACAGCCAAGTAAGAAACAGGTGATGAAATTTCCTTTGTCTAAACCTATCATGGTTTGAGTTCAGGTACTTTTTGGGATCTTCACAGTTCCAGAAACTGGTGTTTATATTTTGAAAAGTAACTCTGGCTCTAAATTCCAGATGATTTTGAGGTGTTATGCATCAGTAACCTATTTATGTACACTGTTGGAGATACAATGTGAATGAGAAAAATATCTTGCTAGAGTACATGGCTAGCATTCCCAAATTCTTTAAGCAGTGCAAGAGTAGTATAATTGATATAGAGATTATTAGGGAAGACCTTTTGAGTTGTCATACTTTGAAGTGACCATCAAGTAACATTTAAATGGGACTGGAAATAAGAGGCGCTCATACGAAAAGTACTTTAACAGAAGTCATGTGCAGAATGTCATCACTAATTTTTGTGATCCAAAAGGGTTAGCTTCGCTAGTCACTGTTGTCTCCCATCTATTAATCTCATCCAGGTCAGGTGACAACATATTAATTCTGAATTAGCTAGACTACAGGGTCTGAAGCTTGTGGGTGGTGGGACAGGCCACGCTTTATCCACTTTAAGGACTGGTGTTACAAAGTTAATGTGTCAGCCAGTGTTGACAAAAAATTAAATAAAAAAAAAAAAAAAAAAAAAAGAAACCACAAAACAAAAAAACCCCAAACCAACAAAACAAAATATATTTTATATCTCCATAACAATTCACATAGCTTTATGTATAATCCAGAAAAGGAGGTTTGTTCTCATTCTATAATCCATGCGTTCTGGGGATTGGGGAAAGAAGAATATTAGTCTTAAATACTGTCATCTCTGCACTAAAAAATAATCGTTAATAAGTAGGTACAAGATCCTTGATGGGGTGATGATTGCCAAGACAGTAAAAGACTGAGAGAAAGAAAGCTACATCACTCACTATGTATCAGGAAAAGCATTTGCAAGCTGTGGAGAGTAAAACTAAAATACCACCAACAAAAAAAGCCCCATGGAAGGATGGAGGCTGGTGCATGAGTACAGGAGTTGTATGCATTCACCATGTGATATGGTCAAAGCAAATGTTGTAGTAACCAAGTATAATTCTGGTTTGGATTTATGCTAATTAAGCAGATGTCCTTTAGAGGAATTACTTTTTTTTCTTAACAACTAGACATCTCCCTTTCTACAAGTTTTTTCCTTCCATACTAGCACAAACCTTTCTTTTCTATCTCTGTTCTACAGCTTGAGTTCTTTGAAGCCTTTCCTTGCCTCTCCTCCCCAGCTGTTTTGGTCTTTTCAGGATTTACCTGTCTTTGTCTCCAAAACAGATGATTTCATACTTCTTTAATAGATAAAAGATCGGGCAGATTCTGTTTAGTTGCTTTTAAACTGTTGAAAATGCCTTTGTGTCCAATGGTGAAACTATTTTTCCATCAGTCATCCTCTACTGTGTCATGGAAAATTGCTGTCAGTACTCACTAATACAGGACAGCAAGTAACCATAGACCATGCTGTTCTTTGCTTCAGTATTACAAAGCTATCTGTGGTTCTTAGGATGGTAGGTAGCTCTTAACTGGATTTAAAATTGAGACCTAATTTAGAAGAAACATGAAAAACTGAATGCCCTTAGAACACTTTTTGTTCAGGTCTGTCATGTCATGCCTGTCCTCTGAAATGTTCAAACTACTTCAGAAATAGATATAATACTTTCTCGCAAAACCTTTCACGCTTCTAAATTTGCCGTCTTGTGCCTGACCTGTTTTTATCCAACTTGTTTAGACAGCATAGTGATGATAGAGGAAGGCATGTAACACCTCCGGATCTTTGTATTTAATATATGTAATCTGTGGAGCTAATGAGGAAAAAATAGGCAAATACTCCTACTGAAAGCCTGGATATATATGATTATATGTGCTTGGTAAAATCTACCTTAATTCCTTTTTATTTTATGATTGGAAATGAAGCATAGTAGTTGATCTTAAAATTGTTGGGGTTTTTTTAAAGACAAAAACCTAATTGTTATTTTCAATATGCAATTGTTTGGAGTACTTGCCTGAAACACTGTCTTGAAATCATGCCCATAATGACTTTAAACGAGGCATAAATTTGTTTTTAATCTTGCTTTCATTAACACAGTGTTTTCTCCAGTCAGTAGAAGTCTGAGAGCTGCAAATACAAAGAAATTGCTTAATTTGCACTCACTAAATATTACATATTCTAAAGTAGCTATAAATTCTTTTTCACAAATGGGGAACATAAAGATGCTCTGTGGGAGCGAAACCTGGTAAATGCAAAGAAATTGGGACAGAACTAAAATTTGCAGACCTGAAAAGAGAGAAAATGTGTGTTAACAGCTACAAGATACATTGATTGCCTGCTGTCCTGGAATTGCAGTGAGAGTGTAGTTACCCTCAGTTGGTGTGGTTTTGCCCAAGAAAGAAACTGTGCCCAATAATCCTCAAGTTTTGGGAGTGCAGTTACTCTCGATATTACGGGATTCTGAGTTTTGTAATTCCGGGTGCACACCTCACATCATAAGCCTTTTCTCACATCACCTGTCTCTGCAGTCCAGACTTCCCAGATTTATTCCAATGGTTCTTGTCAAGTGTGTGGTGCTTATTCCTCACAATTACAGCTGGATGTGGGGGCTTGTATTTCAGGTTTTAACATCCTTAAAGTTGTGGTGGAAAGCAAGGAATCCATGCCTATCAAAGGATTGGTTTACAAGGCAGTTGTTTCTAGATAACAATCCTTAATATGATGGGTGAAACATGTATAACTTTGAGGTCTGAGTCATTCAGTCAAGGGAGAATCTCCCTTCTGTAGTGGCTCCCCAGTTCTCCCCAGTGTTACTGGTGTTGGGTTGGACCCTAAAAATTGTCAGGTGCTCATGAAATGGAGCACCATGGTATTCAAGTACCTTAGTTGACTACCCTGAATATCCTATATTGCTTTGATTAACTTATTCCCCGTAGGTTGCAAACACCCATCTTTAGAAGAATCTTTAAGTGTCAGTTGAGTTGGCTTTCCAGCCTGGAACCAGAACTGTAATTCTGCAATCAAACTGGAAGATGAGATACAACACACATAAAACATTCAAAGGAATCAAACTTGTTCTATTGTAATTGAAATATAAAATCCACACTGATTTTAAGCATTCTTATAAAGAACTCAGATTTGATACTAGATCATTTCAATTTCAGTATCTCAAATTTTGAAACATTTGCTTCACTTTTGACATGAACAAACGTACTTAAGTTGTGGTTGCAATGGATTTGTGAGACTTTTCTTAGGTAAGGTGAGGAGGAGATACGTGCTTTGTACAGATCTTAATCAAAACTAACTGTGATATGGTTCCTGCTTCCCAGCAACCATCTCTTCTCTTTTTTTTTTTTTAAATCACTCTTAAGAATAACTGAAATATGTATGTCTTAACGAATTAGTGAGCAGTAACTTGTCTGTAAAGGTTTGGTTAACAGTATTAAAAATTCCATTTGGCTAGTTTAAAATGTCCTGTATAACTAAGTTGATTTTTTTTTTTTTCCTACCCCCTCTTCTTACTCCCCTACATGATGAATCTGGGGTGTTTGATTCCCTGTACTCTTTTCAGTTATATACTGTCTTGAAAGCTTCCAAAATTTTGCAAAAGATAAACAGTTGCCAAAGTGTAGATTCTTTTGCCTGTTGCTTTGACAGGAAACTGAGGACCCCATTGGCAATGCTGATTGATTTTTAAGTTCACGCTACTTGATTTGAACCCCCCTAAGATAATTGATGCTGGAGTAATTGATAAAAGGCTGGGAAATCATCCAGTTCCTGAAAGTTTAGAAGCTTGGTATTACAGAAACTTTGCCAGGGATATGCAGAGTGCCAGCTTTCAATATGCGATATATGCTTTCAGTATAGCTGATTGAAAGAAAAAAATACTTTGCAGGTAACAGCAAAATTCTAAGTCTCTGTATTGTTCCAGTTATGAGAACATTTTAACTGTCTTTGCTGCTCAAAATCTCAACAAGTTTCCTTTAAAAAACTGATGATGAGTTCAGTTAGTTTTTAGTGTTGCTATTTAAAATCCTGTTATATAGTGAAATGAGCTCCCCTTCTGCTGCTCCTTCAGCTAAGCTGGTGCAACATCCAAAAAAGACATTTGGGACTTGGGGAAAATGAGAGGAAGAGATTCTTCTGCCTTTACATGGTAGAACCATTTACTGTAGCTTAGTGTTCTTTTTAGCAACACGTATGTCCTGCTAAGAAATTAAGGCACTTGATAGACCTCTGCTCCTATGAGCCTAGGGCGAGGAATGCTCCCTTCATGCAGTTTTCAAATGGAGTTTTTATTTAGTTTCTTTCTGAAAGGATACCCCTTTCATAAAGGGGGAAATACTGTCTGTTAAACAATATTTGAAATGATATCACCGATATTCTTTTTCCTTACAAATATTAGGCCTGTGCTCAGTAAAAACAGTTATGTTAAAGGCTTGTCTATTCATCAGTTTTAGTTGTAGAGTGAAACCAATACTTTTATGTTATACCACTGTAAGTGCTTCTGTTCCTGTGTAACTGTTACAGAGGGTTGAGTCAGTTTTAACCATGCAGTTAAGAAATTGTTACATACTTTTGTTGATTCAAATGTACCTTTCAGTCATGCATACTGTAGTAAAATTCTGTTAATGCTTTTTTTGTTTTGTTTTGAAAAAAGAAACAATAGTAATAGAAGAAGGGATCAGGGAGGGGTAAAGAGCCTGTTAATGCATAGTAAATTACTGAGTTAAAGAAAAAGAAACTGGGGAAAAAAATAGCCCATTTTCAAGTCCTCTTTCGTAGGCCCTAAGATGAAAAAAAACCCCATGTGTGTTAACCTGCTTATGATAGGGCCTTATCCGTTCCCCTTACAGAGGCAATGCTGTGAGGTGTTTTTTCCCCCTTTTTGAGGTTTGTTTTTTAAATATCTTTTTTTTTTTCCAGGTAGGTTTCAGGAATAGAAAGAAAATTTATAAAACTCATTTCATGTTGCCAAGGAAATTAGGGCATGGCAATTTAAAATGCAGGAGCTGGCTGAGAGAGTAGACTGCTTGGATTTTACTGAACAAGAGTAATGCTTGCTTCCTGTTAAATTCCTGTAATAGCTATTGTTGATACATGAAGAAAAGAAATCAAGAACAAGCATATATTGGGAGAGCATATAATCCTTCAGCCAAAAGCACCTGCTGTTCCTTTCACAGATTTGACCATCATGTCAGTAATAACTGTTAAAGCTTTCTGTTATACAGACTTTTGCATTAATAAAATTGTACTGTTAAGTTTAATATAAACCTTTTCTGTTGTGCCTATCATTTAGCGGCCAGTGCAGTCTTTTGGACAGACAGCAAAAAGGTCGAAGGTACAGTAGACTTGTGTGCTGGCATGCTAAGGAAGCCCTTCATGCTTGATGAAGCTTTGTTACTTTGTGAAAAGTGCCTTTAGTTTTATTTTTTGGCATTGAAGCTTTGTTTTATTCTGTTGGATTTTTGTCTTGCCTAGTTGTCTGCTTTTGTGGTTTGCCTTTATATTTTTGGTGGCTTTTTATTGTTATGGAGAGAAACACTTTCCCAAAGATTTTATTTACTTCTCATTAGATGTGCTCTATTGTGCTGACAGTGCCTTCAAAAGCTGCAATTGCTTGGGTATTTTCATCATAAAGAAAATTATTTGCTCTACTGAAAATATTAAAAATGCAGTTTTCAACCATTTTGTTTTACATAAAATGAATGGAAAAATAACGGCTTATGGTATATTTATATATTTTTTTTATAAGCCAGAGTTTTTAATTTTACATACTTTCCTTTAGTCAAACACAAAGTTAAAGTTAGTTCGGAGCCTTGCTGTATGTGAAGAATATCCACCACCTCCCACAGCTGAAATATCACGGGACCTCCAGGTAAAAATCACATTACTGAAGTTTCTGAAACAATTTGAAGTAACTTACTGTTCAAAAGAAAATCTTCTGGGTACTCTCTAACTATGCAGACACCATATAATTTTATTTTTTTTTTTTAAATACGGCTTTAATAAAGGTGGTAATATCAGTTGAAGAATTTGCTGCTTTGTTTTTCTGAACTATAATGGTTGATGTCTGGGGAACAGGAAGAGAGGTTCTGTTAGTTCTTTTCACTTTCAAGTGTTCCAGTGCACTTGAGGCAGTCTTAAACTGCTGAAGTGCTGTCAGCCATCAGTAAGACAGAAAAATGATGATTAATATGCAGTATAATTTATCAGCTTTTTATATTTAGAAAGTTTAAACAGTTGTAAGTTCTGGTGTTTTAACTGAATTCCTGCATATTAGTTATACTTGCTGGTAGTTCTATTGACACATGGCCAAGGTATGTCTGAAGACTAATCTATTAAGATGATACAACACACTTAAAGAAGTTCCTAAATGCTGAACAAAATATGTAAAAAAACTTCAGAGAATTTAAACCAAAATTTAGCCTTCCTGATTTGACCTTCATACAAGTCTGTGTTTTTAGAGCAAAATACTGTTACTGGGTTTAGCGCTGTGTATGAATGAGGGGCATCAAAATGCTTCTCTTTTTTCACTCTTGACAAAACTGAAATTATCCTTAGTGGCTTACTCATAAAGCATGTTGACTTATTTTGCTGTTATTTGAAAAACTTCTGAACTGTCTTTTTGTGAAAAGTCTCCCTTTTAATAACAAGCAGAAGGAAACAGTCGAACAACAGGGTTGGGGGTTTGCTGGAGGAGTGGTAATTCAGTTTTGGGGAAGGAGTTTGAACTCATGTAGGATTTTGTCAAGCTAATTAAAATTTCCTAAGGTTGAACCACAAAGTATCTAGTTTGTGGGTTTTTTTCTTGCAAAAGCTGAGAAAAGTATTTTCTGTAGTCTCTAACGTACCAGTATTTGAAGAGTTGGCTGGAGAACTTTTGAAACTGGGCCTGCTAACTTGATTAAAATCTGAGAGGTATGGGCTCCAGACTAAAAGACAGCAGAAAAGCTAATGCTATTTACATGATTTAAAACCCTATTGTAATGCTTTGTATTGGGTTAACAGAATTGACTGAGAGATCTAGTTCATGCTTAGTTGTTTACTCTGAAGTTCTGGTTTAACATTTTCAGTCACCGTATCTAATTACAGGACAAGAGAAGCCTAATTTGATGAGCTGTTCATCCAGAGTATATTTCAAACATAAGAGAAGTTAGGATTTTTAAATCCTCCAGCACTATACAACACCATGTCAGACGCTTATAATAAGCACTCTCTACAGATGGCATTTGTTACTGTGTTCTCTGAGAATCTATCCTTCTATGTACTGCAAGGGTCGTCTTGAAATGAATTATTGCAGTAGTAGAAGAGATGTAAAGGCCAGTTCTACAGCATGAATTGAATTGTACAATAATGTAAGTTTGTATGAAGGGAATACCATAAAGCAGGTTTTATATTAAGAAACAATATTAGATCTACCTGTGAATTTTCTTTAGAAACAGTAATCTAGAAAAAATGGCTTATGAGTCCCAATAACTATGCAAGTGATTGAGAGAACAAATTTAATTTTTCCCTGCGGAGTAGAGAAATGGATGTTGAAGAGAAGAGTTAGAAGTAGGAATTTGTTGCAAGTTCTGATGCTGAAGTGCATGTCCTCTGGGGCGCAGGTCTTCCATGATCCTCTGTAACACCTCCTACAGGCAATTTCTTCACCCATTTTGCTTTCTTCCCAAAGAATCTTTGGGAATGGCATGGAAGAGTTCCTCTATAAGAACCAATTGGATGCTGGATGCCTTAGGCCCCCACACTTTGAAGCAAGTTGTGCATGCATTAATTGTGCTTGGGATGTGTGAGAGGTCCAGTGGCTCGGTGAAGTGAGAGGCTGTCTCCCACAGCCCTGTGATTTCTTCCCCTCGCTGGAAAAGTCACTGCTCTGTTGTATATATGATTGCAACTGAAAAATGGCTTCCAGTTTTGTGTTCTTACTTAAAATGGATTTTAAGAGTTAAGAATAAAATTCAGGATAAAGTTGCTGATAATACTTGAAGAATCCCAATTTTTGATGGCTAGAATGTGTTACGCTTGATAAGATGAAAAATAGACTTACTCAGCTAGGAACTGGTGTGAGTTTTGGGAGAAACTCTGTAGTCTTACCTGTGACTGTTTAACAGTCACACCTGCCACACTAGTGCGTACAGCAGCTCCTAGCAAGGTAAAACTCCTAGGTGCATGCAGGTGTACGAGTCACTTAGCAGGTCACCGCCCACTGCTTCTCTTCAGAAGGCTATAGTGGAAGAGGTTGACAGACCAGAAAAATTGTCCTGAGCAGCTCAATTTATTTTCTGATCTACGTGTTTATTTTTTCTTGAGCTTTCGCTCAGTTGAAAAAAGATACTGTTTGTTACTGAGAAATCTAGGTAAGAGCTCAAAAATTTTTAAGCCTTAACTGTTAAAAAGCACTGGCAGCCCTTTACTAAAAGGTTCTATGAAAGTACAAGCTTATCAATTTATTGCAGGAGGAAGAACATAACTGATTTATTTGATCTTTTATCTTTGTAAATACGCTACCTTTTTATTCTTTTGCTGTCTTTTGTCTAAATGTTAGGTACTGGGATTGTTCTGATTCTGTATGCTCTAATATAAAGTATGAACACTAGCAAAGGGTGATCCAGTTCAGCTCTTCTTAAGGAAAAATCTTCATATGAATGACAGTTATTGTTATGAGTAACAAGTAAATAAACCTCCAAAAGACTGAACTTTATCTTCTTTGACAAAATAAAACAATCCAAAGAAGAGTGGGTGAGGGAAGAAGACGAGGATCTATAATGTCGGTTTATACTGATATGTAAATTCAGATGGTTATTGGTTTTAGAGATTGCTGGTAAAAAGCCCAAGACACTAGGACACAGGGCCTTTAAGTAATATTCTGTAATGTTTCCTGACTCAGCTTTTTCTCAAAGGTTTCAGGTTCAGGGGCTTTTGCTTTTTGTTTAGCTTGCTCTTGTTTGATCTGGATTTGTTGACAATTTCTTTTGCTACAATGAGAGGACTTCAGGTAGGTGGTCTGAGTTACAGTGAGAAGTCTATTAAATCAGTATGGCAGAAGAGACTCTCTATAAACAGGGTGGGATTAAAAGAATTTTAGGGAGTAGGAATTGAACGGTTTTTCAGCAGCTTTCTAGACAAGTTGGTCATATTTAATTAGATGCTACAGTTTTTGTAGCACAAAATAGCAAGAAAGTGCTCTTTGGTACGCAGTTCTGTTGTATCACACTTTGAAGTAGAATTGGTGGTAGTAGAACAACTGGCTGTTCAGATGGCTATTCCTTTTTTAGCTCTCATGGGAAAAGAAATATGAAAATGATTACTGCTGAAATCCTTTGACTAAACTATTGCTGTATGCTTTTACTTTGGATGAGTTTAGAATATGTAGTCAATCAATTTTCTAGTGAAGGAAGATCAGACTAGGAAAATTCCCTTTATTGATAGTTTTGTAGAGTATTATTGTAAAACGGAGAATAACATATTGGTGGATCCAAGACAAAAATAATTTCTTAAGACATGTTTCTTCTTCAAATAACTTATGAGCTACTAGGTGAACAGTAGGTGTAATGCACTTTGTAGTGACAAATAAATCGCTCATTCGAATTATATTCAGGTTTATGAGGTGAGGAATGCAAATACTTGGTTTGGACTCTAATGTTTGTAGCCAAGTGAATTCTCAAGACTAGGAAAGAATTATACAAAAGGGTTCATTACTAGTGGTTTGTAATGGTTTTTGTTAGACTTGCTTACAGATGATCTCATAAAAGCTGAGAAGTCTTCACATTTGTAATGCTGTTTTGCAGGGTGTTCATGAAGTAATAAGTTTAATTAGAATATTTAATGTGGGGGGAAAATAATAATGAAAGGGAGAGTTGATAAAACTATCAGCAAAATTTTTTTCTTATTCGAAAAAGCTGTTACTCCAAAAAAGCATATTGAATCTAGTATAGAATCTCATTAGTACAGGGTTCCATTGCCCAGCTCTGAAGAGACCAAGGTCGAGAGAACAATTGTTTGTGCCAGGGCAGGGAAGAGCATTACTGCAGGTTGTGCAAGGATGTGTTTGCATGTGAAACAGTCTTTAGCCTTGGAGAATCCTGACTATTTTTAACTCTGGCCAGCTTGTATGAGTGAGATCCAGTCTGGGGAATGACTTGGGAGGAGAAGCTTAGAGCAGGTGCCAGAATATGGGTAAGAATGGGTTTGAAGGAAGCATGAAGACTCTCATGGGAAAGGATTAGGTGCAGGACACAAGTCTGATAGGCAAGACTGATGGATCAGGGGCAGGTTATTTGTGCTGGGAAAGATCAGATGTTCTTGGGTGGGTTGGGTGACAACATCAACTTACAAAATTGACATTAGAGGGAGTTTGAGATAAAAGGTAATGGGGGAGTCTCGTGCTTACAGGACTTTGCCACTCATCGTCTTGGACTTATTCAGACACATGGTGTTTCAGTTTCCCCCTACCTCCTCTGTTTTTGCTGTCTGAAATATGTTAGTTCTTCACTGACAATCTTGTTAAATAATAGAAGCATGAAAAACAAATTACAATTTTCCACTATTTAAAGGAGCGTTATGTCACTAATTTCAAAGGGAATCTCTCTTTTGCTGTAGTTGGGAAACATGTTTTAGATAGATTTGTATAAGAACCTGGATTTTGAGATGATTACACACAAAGTTACTCTGTCAGAATATATGGGAAGTTAAGAATCTAAGCCCGTATGACAGTAAGGCTTGCGAATTTTGCCTTGATATATAGTACTGTAAATAATATTTTCTTTTTGTGGGTCTGGGAATGCTGGTCTGTGAGATGAAACAAATGTTTAAATTTTTTTCCTTCTTGGTATAAACCAAATTGAAACAAGCTTTTATAGTCAAGAAAAGCATTGTGGATGATGCATTACTTAAATTTAGCAGCTGTATAAAATTTATATATCTGTAAAACTGGAATACTTTCATATGTGTTCAAGATAATTTGAATTCACTTTGAAATAGCGTTCAGGGCCTGAAAGTGTGTGTAAATTCTAAACTGTGTATGGTTCTATGTCCTCTCTGTAGTTTTTGATTTACTGAAAAACAATTTCATTTTGTGGCCACATAGTACATGTGGGATCAGAAACAATAGAAAGGCAATTATATTCCTTGTTATTTCTTCATTTTGCAGGTAATGTATTACAAAACAGTTTTCCTGCAGGTATTATTTGAAATAATTTCTGTGATGACTAATTTTTACTTTTGACAGGAGAAAATTCAGATCCAGTTGTCACAGTCTTTTGAAAAAGAAGAAAAGCCTGCGAAAGATGAAACAGAAAAGGAAAAATCCAGTGAAAAATTGTCCAGAAAAATGTTATCAAGAGGTTTGCTATCTGTCATCGTGTGTTTAAATGTACTGTGTAGATAGGGAATGTTAGAGAAAATACAGTTTGCTTCCAGGTCATCATTGCATAAACATTGGGGGTTTTAGCAAATGAAGCAAATAGATCAGGCATCCCTGAGCTGGAGAAAGAATGGCTCCCCAGAAGATACAGTGCTTTCATGGCTTCATCAAACACATGTACTCCAGCAAATACTCTTCTTGCCAGTCTAGCTATGCAGACCAGCATAAAAACAATTGGGTTTCCTCAGTTTTTTGGTAAACTGACTTTACTAGTCAATAGATTATCTTATTCCTAGACTTTGTTGTCACAAGATTTGTGAAACTTTAGTGAAAATGACAGCTTTAGTGAAAATGACAATGACAGTTTTCTGCCTTGGTATTTTTTTCTGTTCTTCCTTAACAGAAGTCAAATATTCTTGGTTTATGTTACTTTTGATAGTATCTAGAATTTTTTTTTATAAAGTTTTGGAGCAAGAGTGGAACCACATAAATAAAAATCACAAGTATAGTGTGTTCAGTATTCCTGCGTTCTGGATTGAAGGACTATCTGCTAAGAATCTTTGATTTTTAACCTGAAAAAGAACTTCAAAATTAACGACATAAACCTGTCTCTGTCCATGTAACATAATGCCTCTTGAAGCTAGAAGACTTTATGCTTTTAAATTGGAAAATCATTGTACAGCTCTTGCTTTAAGTAAAGGATCCAGAATGTTTATCTAAGTATTAGACCAACCATTGTGTAGGAAATATCTAGAATTCTTTTTGAGAAAGGTAGCACTTGTCCATCTTGTGTCCCTCAATTCCATAAGACCTTCCTCATGTGGCATTTCAGTGCATCTTGTCCCAGCTGGCTTTTTATTTGTGAAATAAAAAGTACTGGGGTGGAGAACTTAACTGCATTTATAAATCTCAGTCTTTGAAATGGTGCCTTAAAGTAGGGTGTTCTTTCAGAGCTAACTTCCTCAACCTTTAAAGTACATGCCCACCTTCCAAAATCAAGGAGAGGAAAACAAAACAACCTCCCAAAACAAAAAAACCCTTAGAACCTCCAACTGCACCCTACCCTCATCCCCCTGTAAGAAAAATTTTAAAAATACATATACCCAAGATGGCTAGGTAATGATGAGGAGTTGAGAACAAAGTAACAAAATACTTAAGGTAGAGGTAGCTGTTCTGACTTCACCTGTTATCTCCTCTGGAGGTTAATGACTTGCCAATTTAGGATGTGCCAAAATAGAAAATGGAGTTTAAGCTTCAGTCTTCTAGTAATTATTACTCACAAATTAAGAAAATAAAGATTGAATAATTATTTACTTTAAAGTTACTTTACCAGGCATACGCAGGATTCCCCTCCTCAGAATCAAGTGATTCCAAACCATAAATGCTCAGACTTGCTTGGTTTCACTGATAATATATGGCTCTGCAGATAAAGGAGCCCACGATCATCCTTCTTTAGGGAAATAGAGATTCCCTGTCCTCAGGTGGACTTGGATTTTCTCCAGGAAAAATTTAGATCTCATTTTTGAAAATTGGACACTTTAGTCACCCAGTTTGTCACTATGCCAAGAGGCTGCTCTGCTGGCACTGTTGCTTCTGATGAAAAAGCCTGCATAGATTGTCTCCACCGAATTCTACCCTTCTGTGTACAGTAGTCCCCTCACTGCTAATAGATGCTAATTCGCAATGACTGCTCTCTGTACTGACCACAAAACCACCTGAACAGCTAGGATCTAGGCATGAGTTTCATCTGTACATAACTTTAGTCTAGGTTAATGAGTAAGTAGTTCCTGGAAGAAATCTAGTACAAAAAGATTGTTAAAACATCTACAGCTTTGAGTTCTGAGACCTGGGACTCTAGCAGATGTTCATGTAAGGGAAGATTTGGTGTTAAGTAATTTCTTCCAGTGACAGATTTTAGAGAGCAAAATGTAACTTTGAATACTTTGTTTCATTGAAGCAGAAAGGAGACAGAAGGTTGAGACCTCTTCTTGAAAACTTCTGTTGGCTAAAACAATGTTCAGAACAAGGACTTTTAATAACACAAAATAACATTTATGAAGGTTAAACCATTACATTCTGAATTACAGTATTTCTTCAGGCATCATCCAGTAATTCTGTAGATCAGTTGCTGGTCCACAGCAGTGTATACAAGAGTGTAGTGGTGGAGATTGAGTGACTGAAGGTGATACACTGCTTCAAAATACATAGCAATTTGTTAATAAATTGGCAGCTTTTGCTTCAGTATTACACTTGAATTAGGGGATTAGGAGTGATGTTGGGTTATCTGTTTTGGTTTTTATTTGCAAGCCTTTTCCCTGTAAACTGGAAGTGTTTAATTTTGGGAATAGCTTGCCTAATAGTTACATAGTATTGATCCATAAACAACATGTTTAGCAATAATTGAGAAAAAAAATAGTGCTTTTTCAAAGTGTAATTTTGCTCTCTTCGCCCTCACCTTTAGATTCCAGCCAAGAATATACGGATTCCACTGGTATAGATCTTCATGAATTTTTAGTAAATACATTAAAAAACAATCCCAGGTAAGCATCAGTAACAACAACTTTTTGTTTTGCTGCTTGTTGCTTGAGGTGTCTCACCACCTCTTCTTTTGTGGTGGCATTTTTTCCCCTCTTAAATGTTTAACACTATATGTTATTTAGGTTGCGATTTTGTTGCACGAGCTATCTGAAACACCAATCCACTGTAATTTGTCTGTTACGTGAACGGAGGTTCAGCACACTGAAATGATTTAAATGCTTTTAATGTTTAATTGGCAAATAATGAGTTCTGTCTGTGTGCATTTCACTCCCTGAAGGGATTCTAATGCTGTATTTCTAAAACTTGTACTCTCTTTGTGTCTGCTTGTTAGAAACCAAACTGCCTTTTCTTACTTTAATCTGCCTTGCACTGAATTTATAGGCAAAGGAATTAATTTTTTTTAAAGCTGTACCGTATAACTAGTTAGAGATACACATCTTCGCTCTGCACATCAGAAACCAAATCTGACCTAATTCAAGTCCATGTCTGTCTTGTTTGTTCTTTTCCTCAATGGGGTTTCATACTAAGCCTATGGCTGCATATACAAAGCAAGAAATTAAATTGGTGGAATTGTGCTGCTGTTGCAAAAGCTATTCCATGGCTCTTTGTTGTTCATTCATATTACAGTTATGATTTCCAGTGTGATAACTTTTTGGTATTCCATTTTATTGGTAAAAAAAACGTGAAATGAGCTGTAAGAAGGGGCCAACACCATTTTGTCCTATAGATTCAAATTAGCAATCACGGACCTCTGCTAGACTCTTATGTTGCTATTTGAAGTCATAAGGCATCCCAATGAAAATAAGAAGTTGTAGGTGAAGGTCTGCTTCGGATTTACACAGGCAATAACTGGGAAGCTTAGTCATCTGATGGGCACAAATTATGGACTGTGCGACAGTTAATTTCATTATATGTTAACGATTTATTGGAACTGCTGTGAGCATTTTTAAGACTCGTGTTTGTTTCTATCACCTTGAGGTTTAGCTTTTTCATATTCTTTTAATATCTCCTCACATTGCAGCGTGTGCCAGCTTTTAGCTACTTGTGGGTATGTAGTAGTAGTGCATGCCATTATCAGTCCTCTGTCACTCTGTTTTAATGATCTGATGACGTGCTGCTCAATCCAAGGGTCAGTTCAGGCCTCTGCAAATCTTACTACCCATGCTAACTAATAAGAAACAACCTAGTCACTGCTTTTCCTTCTTCTTGAGACTGTCTTCTCAATGACTGTACTTTCTGTTGAGCTTGTACTCTGATTTCTGAGGTGAGAACAGTATGTTTCAGTAGCCAGGTCCAATATAAAATAGCTTAGTGAAAAACAAATACTTTGTCCTAAAAATACTGCATTTGACACCTGGTGGTCTTATTTACAGTCTGTCATCATCCCTTCATCACAGATCTTATCTGTGTATTCTTAAGATGAATACAACTGCAGTTATTGGAGTGTCTCATATATGAGTTGCTGTGTTTTTATTTTCAGGGACAGAATGATGCTGCTGAAATTAGAACAGGAAATTTTAGATTTCATTGGTAATAATGAGTAAGTACTGTACTCTAATAGGAGAAAAGAATTCAAGAGTGTTCCTGTTTGTTTAATAAAGCTACTATTCCTTTCTTCCAGAGTTCCAAGAAAAAAGTTTCCCCCAATGACATCTTACCATAGAATGCTGTTGCACAGGGTAGCTGCTTACTTTGGATTAGAGCACAACGTGGACCAGAGTGGGAAGTCAGTCATAGTAAATAAAACTAGCAATACAAGAATGTAAGTGTAAAAGTCTTGAAAAAGCTTTTTGATGCATAGATTAAACACCCAGGATATATTATGCAATGATGCTGCATCCATAGCAGCAGGGGTCGGTCTACTTGCTGGGAACCATGCATCAAGGAGAGGTAGTTGCAAGATCTTTATTGTTCATGCTCCAGTGCTGTTTAATAATGTGATCTGTTTCATATTTAAACTTCTTTGGGAAAAAAATGATGGTTATCTGTAATCTATGAATTTTTGTTGCTTTCCTTGCAGAGATGAATTAACTTTGTTTTCATGAAATATGAATTTCTATCAGCTATTTATCTGTTTGAAGTTTTACACCAGTAAAATGTACAAAGTACATTCTTTGTTTCTTTTGGAAAACAGAACTAGTCCTTAACTTAGAACAGGGGTCATTTCTGATTTGGTGAAGGGAGGGGACAAGACTCACACAGCTATGGCTTTTGTACTGCAAAAATCTACTGAGACAATTCAGGCGTTGAAGTGTTTTATCAGAATAACGTTGCTTACAGATCTAACATGGCCTTACAAAATTAAACATAGCAGGGAAGACAGACATCTCATCAGTGGAAGTGTCAACCAGGTTAACAAGTCATGGCATGCTGCTTTACTGTGAGGGCTGGGAAGTTTTTAGAGAAAACACTAGGCAAATCTGTATCACAGAAAAAGTAACATTGAGGCCACAGCAATTCCAGAATCCATGCATAGCTGAGCTTTTCATTCAAAGGAGCCAGCTGTTCTCTCTGTCCTCTGCACTTGCTCTGTCTCCTCATTCTCTCTCAGAAAGACAAAGGACTAATATGTTGGTATATTTATGCCACCTAGTTTCTAGATTTAACTTAAAGCCATTTGCCTGACACGGTTCTTTTTTGTTGGGTTTTTAAGCGCTCTATGATTTGAACATGGAAATAGGAATTTGCAGTGCCTGCATCCTAATCATAGTCTCTATGTACACTCTCTGTAGCTTTGGGAGAAGAAAAATCTAATTGTCCACCCCAATTTTAGAGTTAGTAGAACTGAAATAATATGCCACACTGAAATTTCACTTAAATGAACAGTTTTGTCCTCAGAAGAGTCTAGAAAAATCTGTAGACCCTAAATATATGTTAAGTAACTTACGTATTTATGCATGTTTTTGCTTTGGCTATAGATTCTCTATCTAAATTGATGTATAAAGCCATACATTTAAAATCTATTGCCTTTGTATCTACCAGCATCTCTAGACTGAAGCTTCAGCCTAGCACTTCAAATGTGGAACAAGCACTATTAAAAGATTATTTCTTCTTTTTTATCCATTTCTTTTTTCTAGACTGTATTTAAATAGCTTATGATCTCTGGAAGCCCCCTATAGGTGTAGTTATTAATTAGCAGGCATTTCATCTAACCTGCAGACATTAAGATTCTTAATGTTTTCAGTATTCTTATTTTAAATCACTTTGGATATAAAATAAGAATTTAGAAAGAAAACCTTGGAGATCTGCTCCATGTTGAATAAAACCAAACTTACCTTTTCCTCATAGGCAGATTCCCGGCTCCATCGCTGATCAGTGATGTTACTGACATCAACAACCCAGTGCATACTGGGACGTCTCAGTGGAGTGGGATGTTGGTGATTGCAGGGCAGTAAATTCAGGGACCTTTAAAAGAAAGAGGTAAGACAGTCTAAAGGTTCTCTGAAATGCCTGCTAATTATGTTTGGGCATCCAGTAACTAATAGTTAGGCTTGGCTGTTGTGTAGACGACACAAGGTCTCCTGACTCTATACAGATGTTCTGGGTAATGAATAAAGAAACAGAAATAGAGAAGAGTATACCTATGTTTTGTCTTTTTATTAGACAAATATTTCCTGACTGTCTGAGAAGTTATCTTATGGTAGTAGTAGTTTTATTGTCTAGGTACTTGGTATCTATATTTAATAACAGGAGTTTGCAAAGTATCTCACTGTTCTTTCACAAAGTAGATAAAATGCCAAAACAATATATATAACCTGTTGCTTCATCCTCTCACTGTGATCCTATGAAGCTCTTGCTTGCCTGCATTGTACTGTTCTTCTTTTGCTTATTTCTACCTAATTTTGATTTAGAAGTTTGTAAGTTTCAATGCTTTCTCCCCTGTCTTTTTATCTTCTGTTTTCCCTTGAAATGAATTCTGAGGTATTACAGCTCTAGCAGAAAGCACCTATCTTCACTTCCATGCATGCCCAATATCCATTGCATGGCACCAGTCTGGATTCAAGAGCACTTCTGATTCCCCAAGGGCATGTGGTTTGCTTGCCACCTTAAGTGGAAATTGAAGCAAAAGCTTTGAAGGAGGAAGAGATTTTAAAAGCAGGTTTGTTACGCCTCAGAAACAAGACTTGTCAGGGGTACATATCATCTTTTGGTTTTGGTACCTTTTCCGTTGCCTGGACAACCAAAATCTATCACTTCAGTTAGAATATTAAGTATATTTAAGGTTAATCTTGAGTATATTCAATTTGTTCCACTGTGTATAGTATATGTTTACAAAACCATACATCTTTTCTGTCTTAACGACTTTTCACAGACCTGACCAAAAGTTTTGTGAGCATATAAAGGATGAGAAGAGTGATGATTTCCAGAAGCGGTACATCCTTAAAAGAGATAACTCTAGTTTAGACAAAGATGACAACCAGGTAAATACATATGGATTATTTCCTTCCACTTGCTGTATTTGACTGTGTATTTATTTTATTTTCCTGTAGAAGTTGACACTGTATCACTTAATTTAGATGAGAATACGATTAAAAGATGACAGAAGAAGTAAATCCATAGAAGAACGTGAAGAAGAATATCAGAGAGCTAGAGAAAGAATATTTGCACAAGATGTATGTATCAAAGCAAACCTTCTGGTGTTTTGTATGAATAATTCACACATATATGTGCACATGTGTTTTTTGTTAAAAGATACTTCTTTCCAGGAAATTTTCTGTTTCTGAAAGGGACTGAGCGGATCAGAATCATTAGTGTGGCCTGAGTGATGGCCTAAATGATACTGACGTTACTGAGAAACCTTATGTTTTCTGTAATCACAACTGTATGGAACTCAAACAACCTTCAGGAATTACTTTGTGTTATCTAGCATTACCTATTTCAATAGATTATTTTGCCCCTTACTGAAATTTGAGTTATGGAGTTTTGGTACTGCCGTCATTTCAGTTGTTGCTCAGAGCAAAAACTTTTAAAAAAGAAAAACAAAACATAATACAAAACCAAAATGTTTTTTCTCACTTGTGTCTATAGCAAACACGTGACTGGTAACAATAAAATTATTTTAATCTCCACATGCAAAACTTCAGTCAGAAATCTAGAAGTCCAGTTTCTCTTTACAGGATGACACTGTAAACTATAATTCAGGCACTAGTAGTGATTTATATTTCAGTAAAACAGAACAATTATGTCAAAAAAATATATACGTTACTTCTAATAATCCACTTTTTTGACATTAATCTGTAGCTCTTACAGATACAAAACCAGACTCTTGTTCTGAAGAAACAGTAATGAGCTCTGAGGTGAATTTGCCATATTGAAATATTTTTTTTGTTCACCTTAGTTACAAACAAAAGAATGAACTTTTGTATATAAAAATTACCTTTTCCTTTTGTGTATTTATTTATCATGTATTGTACCCTTAGTAGCTTTGTACCAAATCTTAGAAGTCAAAGGGACAACATAATTGGAGTTACTAATAGCCTTTTGATTGTATATTCTGTCTGCTTTTTAGCATGTGTACTTGTACCCAAAGAATTCAGTGCAGTTATTGCAGTAGCTAGCATAATCTTCTACTTCACACTTTCAAGCAGAAGACAAGGCAACTCAGGTGGTGGTAACAGACTTATGAAGTCTCACATCAGCTGGAAATTACATAAGGCAGCGAAGGCCCCATGGAAGAATAGTAACCTCAGAAAAACCCTGATGTAAACAAAATGGTCAGCATTGTAACTATTCAAATGCTAACTTTTATTTCCTGCAAATGGATCTTTTTATACTGTCTTTTTTTTCCCATAACATGGAAATTATCAACCAAAGAAGTTAAGTTTTCAGGCAGCTTAATATAAAGAGGATGCTCTAAAAGTCTATGTGTAATACAAAAGACTCCAAATTGCAGCATGTTTTGTTACTGCACTGTAGTACGGGTTCTGGATGCCTTTCATATTAATTTCTACACTTCTTTGCCCCTCAGTCCCTGTGTTCCCAAGAGAATTATTTCACTGATAAAAGGTAAGAAAATTTGCAGTTTAATTCTGTTTCATTTTCCTATTTTCTTCATAAATATTAAGCTATCTTATTAAAATGTCAACAGAATCCAGGAGGAAGAAACTAATAGTACACAACAAAGACGACAGATACTTAGGTATTTGATGCTTTCTTTAAAAACAACAAAATCCCAAAGTATTATGCATGCATTTCACCTTTTCTTTCTTGTTTTTCTTTCTTTTTTTTTTCTCTTATTTTGCAATTGATGCTTGTGCTAAAAGTTTAGTTTATAACTTACAGAATCAATAAGGAAACATCAGGGAGATCAGCCAACAGCCATCAGAGCAGTACTGAGAATGAGCTGAAGTATTGTGAACCCCGTCCCTGGAGCAGCACCGACTCTGATAGCTCCATCCGCAATCTGAAGCCAGCTGTAACGAAAGCCAGCAGCTTCAGTGGGATATCAGTTCTGACAAGAGGAGATAGCTCTGGAAGCAGCAAAAGCACAGGCAGGCTGTCTAAGACAGGTATAATAAAATCTGTACAAATGCATAGTTACCTAGTGGTGACGTACCCGGTGGTTTGATACTTGATGTGTGCATATGTAGAGGCCTCAGTCTGGCGGGTGCTCTGTGCATACAGCTCCCTCTGGGTGCAGCGGGTGCTGCCTACACAGAACGACTGAAGACCTAGCCCTGTAGTGCAGAACGGCCTTGGAGAGTTGATTGAATGGAGACTTCTGACTTGGGAAGTAGAATTTTAAAGTGCATTATAGCTGGCTTTAAGCTAAATGCATTTCTTCTCATATGAAGACTTTGAAAATATTTATCAACAGGAGTACTTCATATAAAATAAAAATCTAGATTTCAAGTCTTTAGTTTCGGTGTGGCAAAGCTGCATCGTGCAGTCTTAGGAAACTGTGCACTGCTATCCTACTCCCTAGGAGAAAAACAGCATTAAGGCCTATGAATTGTTAGTTATATTTATTATGTTATCTTGCAGTGCCATTGTTAAATGAATACGGCTAAAAAGCTTACTTAATTCTGAAAAATCAGATCAGTGGAATGAAGTGAACTGTTTCAGATTCAGAAATGTTGGGGAAGATTACAAGAGTCTGGGTTTCAAACGTATGTTAACTTGTAGTCAATGTCAAAACAAAATCTCAGAAAAGATAGATATAAAACTTCTGTGGTTCAAAAATGAAATTTAGTAAATATTTGTATTCCAAATGCCAAAGTAGTTTTGATCCAATAGATAATCTTGGTTGTGGACATTTTTGAGGCTTGTAATATATGGGTGGGTTACGGATGCACTACTTCAGAATTTGAAGTAGAACTGTAAAAAAGCAGAATATTATTGCTTGCCTGTATTATGCTTGGCTTTGATCTTATTTATAAAACTTGTTTCTAATGAGGATCTGTTTAAATTTTTTGCTTTCCCTTAAACCACCACTACCTTATAGGTATTCTATATCTTCTGTACCTTAATGTAGTAAAACAGTTCCAAATTCTGTTTGTCCATTGTATGCTTGTATTAAAAAAAATACATTCCAAGGTACTTCTGCATATGCTGTAAAATTGTGCCATCATATTGAGTTATTTCATTTAGCAATGTAGTAGTCCTATCTGGCACAGCTTGAAAAGAAACTACAACCTGACCATAGTGTATATATAAAATACATTCTTAGCAATCTTTGTTTTCTAAATTGTAAGAACATAAATGGAGTCTTAAAATTTTACCGGAAACTTTATTTTGGCATTCTGAGAGTTAACATTCAAAGTTCAGAATGCCTATCCTGATGGTTGTTGCTTCACTGCAGTTAACAGGTTGTGGTGATTTTTGCATGTGTTGGGTTTGGTTTTGTTTATTCATTTTGATTAAGGATGTAATTGCCTTTAATTATGATAGCTTCAGCCTGATTTCTCTATGTAATCTAGAAGTGGATACTCTTGTAAAGAAATGTAATCAAAGCAACTCTGCTTAGGTGAAGATCACTTTACAGAGCTGGGATATGCTGTTTTGCCCAGTTTACAATTAATAGTGTGTTTCAATTAATCTAGCAATAATAAAAGTTAATAGTATCAGCAAATGCTTCAAGGTATACTATCTTTTCATACACACAAGTAAAAGGGTTACAATTAGTAATTTTTATGAAGGACTGCAAAGTCACTTCAAACAATAGATTAATTTCCTCACAGCCATTTTTGAGTCTTGCTTTCTCTTCTAGATTGTATAGAGGCTGATAATGAAGAGTTCTTAAATTTAAGCAGCTATATTCTGTTATTTCCAAGTACTGCAAGTATCATAGCAAAGACTTAATAAAAAGTATGATAAACTGTATACCTAGAGATCTAGGTATAGAGTGATCTAGCAACAGTGCAGTTCTACAGATCTCTCTATATTGGACTTTTGGAATATTGCTTTTAGCTGCATGCATTGGCTTTCAGAAAGCTCAGGGTCTGGTTCTCCACTGCCTTGCAATGTTTATAGTCATTCATATCTGTAAAATGATTATTGCTTTCAATCAGCTATTTTATACTCCTTTTGAACTTTGAATTGTTGCATAAAGCTAGGCTAAAGCTACCCTATTACCATCATTTTTTCCAGCTGTATTCTTGATTTCAGTTTGAAAATTGTCAGAGAAGGAAAAAAGTAGTTTTGGGCTTTTTAGTATTCCACAATTTGTCCAACAGTTGAGTCAGAGAAGATCTCTGACATCTAGTAGTAAAGCAAAAATGGTCATTGCATGCATGCAGAGCATGGGAATGTAGCCAGTGTATCTGAAGGGGCATTGGGCCCTCTGCATCTGCGGTACCCCACGGCCTGCAGGGATAGTCGCAGGCTCAGAGTCCATCGCTTTGGTGTACCCAACTGATACACGTGCATGCATCGTTTTGGAGTGACCAAGCACTTAAATGAATTGTGGATGAACTGAACATTAGCACGCACACAGGCATGTATTTTCTTTGCAGAAAATCAGAGCTAGATATGAAAGCTTTACTTTACAGTGCAAAGCAGTGCTGAATTGACCCTTGGTTCACAGAAGGAATCTTGTAATGCTATTGCAGGGGAGATGAAGGGGGAGTTATTGAAAAGGCCACTGTTTAATAATGTATTAACTCTGAGCTTTAAGGGTAAGCTTTTACAAGTATATTTTAAGTGAGCATGATGTTTCTGTCTCTAGGTAAAAACAATTTCTCGTTACTCCTTTCCTAGGTTCAGAGTCTTCTAGTAGTGTAGGGTCATCCACGGGTTCTCTTTCTCACACCCAGCAGCCTCTTCCAGTGCCAGCTCTAAGCCAGCCTTCTCATGGCACGCCTGCCGTCTATCCAACTGTCAGCACTAGTAACTCTCTTTCCTTTGATGGTGGCATAAGCGGGCAAGTGGCACCTACTAGCACTAGCTTCTTTTTGCTTCCCTTGGAAGCGGCAGGCATACCGCCTGGCAGTATTCTGATCAACCCTCAAACAGGTTGGTACATGCTTGTGGATGTGTTTGTTACAATTGAGAGCTTGGAGAAAAATGCACGAGTGTTTACATAAGACTGAATGTCAGTACTGTCCTTTCTTTTTTTCTTCTGTGGTTGTGTTTGTTCACTGCACTTAATTTAAAAAGAAAGCATGACTGTAGGATCAAAGGCATAAGTAAACTCACTTTATTTTCCTCTAGTAGAGTTTTAACATATGTAAAATTTTAATGAGTGACTTGCACAAAATATGAAGATCCCATGATTTGTTATCCAGAATGCAGAGGAAAAAGTCTTTCCCAGTTATACTATAAAACAGTTTGAGTGAGGTGAGAGAGCCTGAAGTATTCATATTGACTTGAAAGAATTTATCATCCTTTATTCTGTTTGTTGAGGCATATTCTTGTGTCTATGCTCATGACACTGACTTAAAACAAGTTAAAGAAATAAGCATGAGATCATATGCTATTTCTAAACTTATGTTTGTCAGTTTAAAACAGGATTTAAGTCAAATACTCATATTTTTAGTAAGAAATTGATACTTCATAATGTAGGTGCAAGGAGATGTGTAACTACTTGTCTGGATTGATTCATTAGCATTCCCTGGGGCAAACTTTTACTTTATTGTAGAGGTTAAGAAATCCTGAAAATTTTAGTTTAATTTTCCTTGTAGAAAAGGAAATAGTTCAGGGTATATTTCTCATCAATCTGTAGATGACCTTTATTGTGTTTGAATATAATTCCATGTGATGTTTTAAACTAAATTTTTCTCATTGGTGGTGTTAAAATGATCAGTTATTAAATTACTTCACTTCTATAACTAAAAGGTTTAACATGGAAATAGATAAAATTGTTTTTCTTTACTATAAATCAATTGCTGTTATATACAAATTATATTTTTTAATTGATTTTGCATAGTGATGTGCTGCCTGAGGTTTCACTTAAATGATTTACTGTGTAAATGAACAGTTTAAGCTAACCCTGGTAAAAAATTGGTTACAATTGACTAGCTGTAGCATCTAACTTTCAGATATAGTTATTGGATTTAAAAGGGGATGTATTTGCTGTCTTAGGTCTAGGTTGGACAACAGTGCTATTGACTTAGTTTTTCTAGTGCTAATGCGACGGTTGTACATCTTATACATGGATTTTGCCTTGTGTTGAGCATCTGAAGACAAATATAATTATTAGTGAACAAATTTTGGTGGCAAAATAAGTGGGTTTGTGTCTGTGTAGACTAGAGTACTTCAGTCTACATTAAATATGGAAAATGTTGGCTGTCATTTTTCATATTCTGAGTTTATAGCATGACCACGCTAAAATCTTTAGAGTTACTATACAGCAAAACAGCTATTGCAGTCACTGAAACGATACCATCAGCTTGAAAGTGCTTTCATGTAAAACATGATACAGTTTTGTCATTTAAAAAATAGCAGCTTTTGAGTCATTGTCATTTCAGTTACGTGCTTGTCAATATTTTGTGTGTGATTGGTTTCACTTTCTTCCTCCTGTACTGTTGGTCATTTTCCCTGTTACATTGATGGGACTTCCACATAGCAACAGGGAAGGGCAGAGAAACAAATGTAATTGTGCGAGTTTTTCATCTGAAAGCATCTTTAATTGCATCCCCCTCAGGAAAAGGCAGACTTGGTTCTCATTAAAAATAGCATGATTTTCAAAATTGTGATTCTTCCTACATTTTATCCACCTTTAATGTATTTAAACCACTCATCAATAGCCTTCCATAACAAAAGTTGATGTGTAATGAGTGTCTAACAGAAGATAAAGTACACTTGCAGAACAAGGAATATCTAGGTCCAGATAAACTTTTGACTTAGTGTACTCATATCATATTCTGTAACTGTTCAGTAACTGGCTTTATTGTTCCAAATGTCAGAGTTCAAAAAAACACAGATTAGTTTCTCAGCATTTCTGACAGAGCATCTTGTGACCTTAGGCCTAGAGAGTCATTCTTAGGAGTTGCAGATGGTAATTAGGAGAAGGCAGTTTTTATTCAGTCATGACCAGAAACAAGTTAAGCTCCCATGATTACCAGGAAGTGGTACAAGCAATAAGAAAATCTGATTCTGTATTTATGTGACTGTTCCCAATTCTTGAGCATTAAAGAGAAATCCATTAAGTTAAATTGAATATGTCTTGATCACCTGCATATGTAGCTTATTTTTGCAAGTCAGTTCATGCTTCATGTCTATCTCTTGCATCAATTGCCCCAGTCCTCTCCAGTCACTTTTACAGTTTTATGTTGGCCAGTTGCATTTAAGTATGATGGGACGAAGAAGTCTGAAGGAGCATTAGTGTACTTTGACAGGACCCTGGCGAGGGTGCAAAGGCTTTAGTCTCAATTTACACCTTTCTGGAAAGAATCTCAGACAAGAAAATATTTGTATCAGAGGAGTGAAAAATTTGTCAGTATTTGGACCTTAAGCATCAAAATAAGTCAGTGCAAGTGGTGTTACTAAGCAGCTAGACACAGGTCCTTGCTAGCTAATTTGTTGTTCCATTGATTTTAGGTTGTCCTAAGCATAAATCACTATTTGTTATGATTGCTTTTAAGTAGTTTATTTTTAAAGTCTTTTTCACTAGTCTACTGCTGTAATATTGAAGTTGCAAACAAATAGGAGAATAATACTACATTATTATTATATTTGAAAGCTGAAGGCCAATTCATTTATAAATAGGGGAGGAGAGTCCTTTAACAGTAATCTCATTAGCAGTTAAGGGAATACCATTGCAGCTAATGCTTTATATATACTTTTAAAATATTTGCCTTTAAGCTGTCCTGTGTTCTGTTTGGTGTTCAAACTGATTAAAGGAGATTCATTTAATTGCCTTTTAAAAGGTCCTTAAAGTAGTATTTTTAAAAGTTGGGTCTTCCTTTATTACTCCCATCCTTTTCAATCCACTTAATTAAAAATGAGTTTTTGAGACAAGCAGGATACAACAAATATTTATTTGTGTTCACTAAGTAAAGATTGTGGTGTCTTTGTTCATTTTAAATGTTTTGGTTTTTAACTGCATGTAGTTTGTCAAATGAGGCCTCCTTAGTTATTGGTATTATAGTTGTGGGGATTTGGCATAAATGTGTCATATAAACCAGTATGAATTCACTTATTTTCAAATTTTATTATTCACTTTGCCTACTGTAAAGACATTTGTCTTTATTTTCTCCAAACTTGGATGATGCAGCTGGCAGTCATTTGCTTGTGTGTGTTCTATTTCAACTTCCCAGGTCAGCCATTCCTTAATCCAGATGGCACTCCAGTTGTGTACAATCCTCCTATGCCTCAGCAACCTGTTAGGACCCAAGTGCCTGGACCTCCGCAACAGCCACCTCTTCCCACGCCACCTCAGCAACAGCCAGCAGCTAATCACATCCTCTCACAGGTGCACATGTCAAACACATGACGCTCATGTTGATGATTGATACTGTCACATTGTCATCTGATAACAGGGGATCAGTAGGTTGTTCTGTCGAAGCATATGTTAAGAAGTAATAGCTACACAGGTATGGGTAACTGGACTCTTTCCGCTCCAAACTTCAGAAGTATCAGTTCTGCTCATAACTGAACATGGTAGGCAGCTTTTCTTAAACATACAGATGTTTTGGTATGAAAATATTATGTATCAAAAACATACCAAGCCTAGATTGCTCTGGAAAAGTGGCTCTGCCTTTGTCCTTAGGCATACTGTGTGGTAGTCCTGGCATTAGTCAGCAATCTGGGAAGAGAGTTAATCCAACTGAAATCTATCTCCTTGTCTTAAGGTTATTTTTCAGCTGGATGAATTCTTGGGCTGTACTGCCCAAGCCGTACTGATAGCACAAAAGAGGTGGCTTAGGACTGGTAGAGCATGAATGCCTCCTTAGTTGCAGTTTGGCTTACTCTGCTCACAGAACTGCACGCTGAAGGACAGGATGTATTTTATCCTCGTCTTGTACAAGAGGAATTTATTATAACAGGCCAGATGAAAGATGACCTCAGCCCTTGAAGAAGAAGACGACCAAAGCAAAGAGTGTGTATGGGCAGCAGAAGGCAGGGTTCTACCTCTTTTCACAGTCGCTATTTCAGGCAGCAAGCTACTGGCTGTAGTCTCCTGTGGTGTTTTCAAATTGTTCTCAAATTTTATCAAAAAGTTATTTATAGACCTTCGTCTAAACTTTTATCTTTGTTCATTTTGACTATTCACGTTTTCTGCTCAGGATAACTGCGAATGCCACAGTAGAGATGGTCTGTTTTGAAAAAAGGTTTATTTGTACTCTTTCTCACTATCTTGTTTCTGGAAGTGTGTACATGGTATTTTGTTTTTCTTCACAAATTCTTTACTGCTTCTGTGATTGACTACTTATGGATACTGAATTTGAACCTGCACAAAATATTGTCAGCAATTATACTTCTCTGATGTTCAAATAACCATGATCTAGAGAAAATATTTTGATATTGTTGAATAAGTGAAAGTAATATGGTTTAATCTGTGGGTAGTAGTAGATTCATTCTGTCTTTAGATGCTTTGAAACAGCTTGTACTTAGAATACACATGTGGTTTTTATTTTATAATTCTGAAAATCTCTGAAATAACCAGTAAATGTCAAATAAAAGCTCTTTGCTGACTCACAGCTAATATAATGTATAACTAATAAAGCAAACATATTTCTGCTGAGAGACAGAGATAAAACTACCTCTGTTTTCATTCTATGCAGTCTTGAACTTAAAAAAAATATCCATTCCCTTTCTGGCAATGGACCATAGTTTCTTTTTTCTATTACAAAAGACTTTGATTTTGTTTTCACTTCTCTTGCTCTGATGTTAACCGTGTTTATAAACCTGTTATTTCTTCAGCCTATGCGGCCTCTGCAGCCTTCTTCCCAGCCTGTTCAGTACTCTGCAGTCTCTTATCCACCCCCGCTCCTGCCAGTCTCCTCTACACAGCAATATTCTGTGGTACTATATCAACTGTTCATCTCCTCTCTGCACGGGTTAATCTTTAGTGGATGCTGACCTTTGCTTGGTTGTTTGAAGATGGTGTGTGGTACAAGTGTAATGACTGGCTAGCTTTTTAGTCAAAATACTGCCTGAGCTGGGGGGAAATAATTCCTGAGATTTTAAAGTCTTTATTTCAAGTTCAGCAGAAACGTATACAATTAGGGTTATGTCTATATATCTCTAGATATATAATATTTCCCTTTGAAAAGGAACAGCTTTTCAATGTTGTTGTTTTGTTGGCCAATCAGTACCTTTTTATAAAGTCTCTGGATTAACCTCTTTCCATCCTTTCTTATTGTTTCTTGGATTGCTTGCTCTTCTGCTGCACATTAACACATTTTGAGGGATCATTGTTCTGGTTTTTGAGGTTATCTTTTTCTAACCTCTTTGCCAGAACTCTTAATGCTCCTGCTTCACTAGCATCCCTTGTTTAATAAATAGAAGCTGGGAATGAATTATAGTAGTCTTTTGTGTTTAAAAAAAAAAAAAACAAAACAGATAAAAAAGAACCTGGCACAAATTGAAACTGAAACCTTGTAAAGGAGAAGTTATCCAAGGCAAAATCTGAACTAGAGTCCAGGTCAAAAATTTGAGGCTTCCCAACTCCCAACACTGCTCTGACACTCTAATGAATGCATGTTTGGGTTGGGTTTATGTAGCAGGGGTGGTTCTGCAAGGAGAGACCAGGAGCTGCTGCCGTGTGTCAGACAGAGACAATTTCAGGCAGCACCAGGACTGACCCCGCACTGCCCAAAACTGAGTCAGTCATCGACACTGGTGGCATCTCTGTGATAATGTATTAGAGAAAAAAAAGCACTGTGAGGGAGCAAGAAACAACTCCGCAGACACCAAAGTCAGAGGGAGAAAAGGGGAGGAGGTGCTCCAGCTGCTGGAGCAGAGATTCCCCCGCAGCCTGGGGAGAAGGTGGCTGTGAAGCAGGTTCTCCCCCTGCAGCTCGGGGAGGATCCCACAGCAGAGTGGGTTGGGGTGCCCTGAGGGAACCTGCAGCCCGTGGAGGGCAGGAGCAGGCTCCTGGCAGGAGCTTTGGCCCCGCAGAGGGAGGAGCCCACGCTGGAGCAGGTTTGCTGGCAGCACTTGTGACCCCATGGGGGACCCATGCTGGAGCAGGGGAAGAGGGTGAGGAGTTCTCCCCCTGCGGAGGAAGGAGCACCAGAAACCAAGTGATATTAACCAATAATAGCCCCCATTCCCTGTCCCTGTGACACACAGGGGGAGAAGGTCAAAGAGTTAGGAGTGAAGTTGAGCCTGGGAAGAACCAGGGGGGTTAGGGAAGCTGATTTTAATTTTGTTTTCATTTTTTACTATCCTACTTGCTCACTGATTGGCAATAAATTAAATGAATCTTCCCCAAGTCAGATCTGTGTAGCCTGTGATGGTAATGGGTGAGTGATCTCCCTGTCCTTTTCTTGACCCATGAGCTTTTCATCTTCTTCCTCCCCCTGTGTTGCTAAGGATGGGGGAATGATAGAGCAGCTTGGTGGGCACCTAGGAGCCAGCCAGGGTAAACCCACCACAGTGTTATACAATAGCCGTTTTAGTATGTATTCAGAGTTTTTGTTTTGTTAATATTTTCAACATTAATTAGAAATATCTTGTAATAATAGATACAGATTTATGAGTTCTATAGCATGCATATAATTAAGACTATCAGAACTGTTATGTGTACTTTAGGTATGCGATTCTAAAAAGGATTTGCACTTCAGGGAGGGTGTTTTGTTGTTATCCATGTTGTTTCTCATGTTATTTTAGAGTTTGCATATCTGTGGACTTCAGTTAGTGTAACTTACCTCCTTCATAATGACATGAGAATGGTTAATTAACCAGTGTGAGCTTCCTATGTAAGCTTAGCCTATGACTAAATAGCTGTTAGTAGCAGCTAGTTCAGGGGTCTTTGTGCTGTGATTCACAACCATAAGGTTGTTAAAGCAGAGAATGAAACTCTGTCCACGTTTATAATAACTTCAAAGCATTTCACATTCAGGAAATGGGTTTAAATCCTAAGTGTGCTGGCAGTTTCAAAAATTTATTCCTGCTGATGGTAACTTAAGTAACCTAGTGAGAAGGATATGATGGTCTTGGTTCATAATCTAAATCCAACATGTGTAGTCAGTACCCAGGAAAGTTTGCTTTACCCATTATTGGTAATACCATGTTTCAGTAGTTAATCGTGCTTGCACTGTACATAACACTGTAGGACAAACTGACCAGATCAGAATTCACTCATATTGGTAGTGTAACAGAAATAAATGGGCATTGCTTGGGTTTATCCTTTGGACATTTTTAGAGATAATATTAACTCATAATTAAATGTCAGTATCTCGAAACTAGGTATTATGAAAAGCAGAATGTAAAATCCAACGTAGAAAAGCATTATAGTTGCATTAATATGCATCATTAAAGAATGAAATGCCCAAGCCAAAGTTAGATTGTTAATCTAATGAAAATACGGCTTTTTAGGCTGTAAAGATATTCTAAATGAAGTTTTTTGTGCAAAATCATATTTCCAGTAGTAATTAAGAATATCTTGAGCCTCGGAAAGATAAAATTTCATCATAAAATGGAACGCAGCTAATCAGTAAAAGACAGAGCTTGCACTTACTCTTTCTTGATTAACTGCTATCTTCTTCAGGATGATCTAAGAGAAGATCAAGTAGTCTTAAAATATTTCTAATGTTTCTCCATGTTTGGAGAGTCCACTTTTGATGAACCAAATCTTCCTGTTTAGCAGACAAATACAATACGAGTGATCACTTCTAATTTCCAGCATATTGATAATTTGGTGCTGAATTGCTTGCGAAGAAAAGGAGCTTGGGGTTACAGTAATAGACGTTTCAAATTTCCCAGAGCTCCTGCAGTGCTCAGTGCAATCAGTATCATCATTCCAGACGTTAATAAAAATACAGATAGTAAGTAACCACTTGAACACATTTCTTGCAGCTGTTACTTGATTTCAGGCTAAAAAAATTAATCCTTGCATGTAGTATAATACGAAGTTAGAGGAGTGTGCCTTGTTACTCAGGATTAGAGCCTCATTAACTTAAGCTCTTAAAACCAAAAGTTACTTTAGCAATACTAATGCCTTCTGCTATTTTAACTGGGGATAGATGTTTTCACTCAAGCTTTGGAGTCCAGACAGAAAATGTTAGTGACACAAATTCTGACTTTTTGATAGTTGAATTCTTACAATAAGTAGAGGCAGATGTAATCCAGAAATGGAATATTTGCAGTGAAATGAGTGAAGTCTCTATATGTGGATGTTCTCCTGCTGTTAGCTGTGAAGATAATTTACTGCTGTGTTCCATCTTTACTGTTGTTCTTTGGCTGATGTTGCTATTGCACAGTAATTTGAGACATGCATATCTGAAACTTAATGAGATAATGGCTATTTTATTCTCTTTTTTTCATGGACGTACATTTGTGAATGTAATTTTTCCCTTTTTTGAACTATTGCAGCAAGACAACCTAGGATCACAATTTAGCCATATGAGTCTTGCCCGCCAGCCACCTGCTGATCCCGCTGAACCTCATACTGCGATGTTCCAGTCCACGGTAGTCCTACAACCCCCACAGCAATCTGGTTATATCATCGCAGCTGCCCCACCTCCACCACCCTCTGGGCAACCAGTTTCTGCTCCAGGCTACTCAACATCTAGCCACCCTGTCAACCAGCAAGTACTCCAGCAGCAGGGATATATGCAGCAACCTGTGCCACAGGTACAAGGGCTCCGTTTCCATCCTCCCACAATCTGTATTTAAAAACTGATTACACTCCCCCATTAACGAGCTTTTTATATGGTGTGAAGCTCCCTGTTAAACTGCAGCTGTGTGCATTTATTATAGGGTTGGGGGGATTTTCTGTTTTATGTGCTTTGAAGTGAATGACCAGCTTACTTGAGGAGCAGTAATCACCCAGGTTTTCCTGTTTAACTGGTGAGACTCATGTTCTGCAGAGTTTACTAGTGTCTGGGACGTTTGTGGAAATTGGGAACTGTTACTTCTGCACTGAAAGTAGAAGAAATTGGCTGTTAAAGAGGGAATTTATGTAGTATAAGTATTTTTAATTGCTATTTAGATTTAGTTGCACCTCAATAAGTTTTGCATCTTTCTTTTATCATGTAATTGTTTTTGTGTTTAGGTGTCTGCCTTCTATAAACTTGCAGGTAGTGAATCTTTTTAATTGTTTGTTTTCAGATGCCAGCTTGTTATTGTACCCCCAACCAGTATCCGCACTCCAGTCAACAATACCGACCTGTTTCTGTCCATTACAACACACAGCAAAACCAACCACTGGCACAGCCTGGGCAGCAGACAGGTTTGTGGAACTCTTTCAGCATTTCATTACAACACTACCTGTGCATTTCCTCCTGGTTTTGCTTTTGAAATGTATTTTGCTCTAAATTTTCAAATAAGGAAGTTCAAATATGGGATACAAAGTGTAACTAAGGTGGAAAATGAGAGTCAGATCTTCTTGAAACTGGAAATTTGAGCCATTACTATGAGTGGTTCATCGTGTAACTGTAATTATTAGAGGATAATATTTTTTAAGTTTAGCACTGAGAAACTTGTAACTTTGTTACTAACTTGTTACTAACTTGCAAAGTAAGATGAATTAGTAACTTTAAATGATGTCAAGTTGCAGAGAAGGACCTTAGCTGAAAGTTCTAAACAAAGGATACTAATTTTAGATGTTGCAGCGTGAAAGTAGTGCTGTGCAGAAGACACTGATGATACTCTTTTGTCTTTCTGTCCAATGGTTAAAGGTATCTGGGTATTGAACAGAATATGTAATGGGACTTAAGGGATTAGTGTTAGTTTTCTGCTCCTCCTATTTTTAGTAAAGACTTTTCAACTGTTTTCTGAGTTACTTTTCTATGAATGTTATGAAGCTGTATTTGTTTCCTTTCTTTCCTATTTTCTTTTTTCCTTACAAATTGTAATTGTAGCTACCATTATTCTGATAATCTATACTTAGAAATATTGTTATGACTACTTCAGTAAGATTTGGATTCCTGAAGCAAAGTTAATTCTGACTAATATCTTGACTCAGAACTTTGAGAAGTAACTAGTGATGTTTAGTGGCACAGATCCTTAAAAAATAAGGCTTTTATACCATGTCTTAGTTGAATACATTACACCTAGTGTCCTTTTGAGTTTCCTTCAGGAAGAAGGATTTTTTTCATTTCTCCCCTCACCCCTATATGTTGCTCTACAGAAATAGGATGAAAGATCAGCTTTTACAAATGATAACTAGATTTCTTTATAGCTGTTCTATGAAATAGCCTGGAAGAGGGCAAGTTCCCTCTTCCTTGTCTAGGAAGTGTTCCAACTGCAGCAACACTTGAAGTTGTTATTCGGGGTTCAGGTCACAAATTTACGTAGGATTATTTCATTGCAGAATCATCAAGATGTGATGCCTACTTATGGCAGGGTTGGCAGATCATTTTAAAATACTGTTGGTACCTGTTTCCTGCAAAATAGATCACCACTTTTCACTCTTCTGAAGTGAAAGTATATTGAAATTTTTCAAAGAAAAACTAATTACTTGGTTTTACAACTTGTTTTATCCGCTAGTGTTAAAGATGTGTTATCCCATGGCATTACACAACCTGCTTTCCTTCCTCAGAATTTTTCATACCTAGGCTACTTAATAGCAAAAAGTGAGGCTCAGCTGGGGTAGCTGCCCATTTACAGGGACACCCTCTGTGAATAGCATACAAACTCTCTAAATCGGAGAGAACCCAGTGTACACATGTAAGGGAGGAAATGGTTGCTATTAGGTAAGTAAGTTTGTTTCTTGTATGTTTTTAGCTCTAAGTTTTAACTGAATTTTTCTGCCTGTAATGAGGACAGGGTGAAAAGCATCAGCACCTGAAATCTCCCTCTGTGTCCTAGAAGAAATAAGAAAGCTGTGCAGAGAGCTACTTTACTGCTTTGAATATGTACCTGTAACCCTGACACCAAGGGATCGTATTTAAGTAGCAAAGGGGTGGTCCAGCCAATAATTCCATTCAGTCTTGTTTGATTCCATGGTATTTACTAGCACTGATGGTAGAGGAAGTATTTTACTAGCAACTGTATAATAGTGTTTAACTCAAAATCTCCAAATTGCTACCTAGCCTTTGCAGGCTCTCATTTACTGCTTTAGAGGCAAATTAGAATCAGCATTCTAGAGATGGAAGGTTCTGTGTCATGTTTTCTATTCTGTGAACCGCTCATGAGATGGTGTATTTTGAAATTATCTCTGGTAGATTTTTTTTTTAAAGCAGAAATATTTGTATTAAGTTGACACAGTTACATCCAAAATGGTTGATGTGTATTAGTGACAGCTGTTTTTGAGACAAAAGGCACCATGTTACTTGGCTGACAGCAATGTGTCTGGTCAAAAATGAGAATTTACAAATCTTATATTCTATAAAAGCTATGGGATTTATTCATGTTATATTAAGTGGTTACTAACAATGAAATAACTTTGCAAACACAAATTTAGATAAAAGATGGCAGCTTCTGAGAGCGTGGCAACTGAAGCCACTTTTAGTTTAACATCATGCAGTGGCCTGACTTTATTTATGAGCTGTTGGATTCGGGGCCGTAACACTGTCTGAGAGGTTTACATTTCTCACAGTGAACCGGTCTCTTTTTCAGCTGCTTCTTGGCTTCCATTGTAAAGGAGTTTCAAGTGAAACATTTGGGGGATTCACTTTTATTAAAAATGCTTTGGTTGCCCAAAAGATGTTGGGAGAAGAAAACTCTCTTTACAAAAAAGGCATTTCTGATTGCCATGATAATGAAGGCTCAGTTACCATGAGACCTAACTACAGGTTGATTAAAAATCTTATCTGAACTACAATTACCGTAGGAACATCAGCTGAAGTTCAACTAGCTTCTGCTTCAGACTGGCCCGTGATAAAACTATTACAGTTGTAATAATAGCTGTAGCTGTAGTAGTTGTAATCAAGCTGTGCTCATAGCCTGGTCACCAAGCGATTGTACTTGCTTTTCTGTTCCTGAATAAAGGCCGTTTCTCACTCTTAATGTGTTACTCAGAAAATGTATTTCTGTATCCTGTAAGTTAACTTTTTTTCTATTAACAGTGATTTATTTTTCATTGTAAATATTAAGAAGCATGATTTTTTTTATCTGCTGTTTCAGAGTATTTCTCTGTAATGAGACAGTCTGCTATGGCACGTGTGGGTTTTGTGCTGAGTGCTGCATTTCTGCCAGACCACTCACTATGCAGAGGTGAAACTGTGAAGCTAAAAATAGAGCATTCTTCGACGCTGTGGGGAACCGTCTTGGCAGTCAGTTTATATTGTTCCAGTTCTCTCTGCTTGCCAAAATGATCATATCTGTCTCTGGAAGTGCCAGAAAAAGCTGAAAAATATTCACAGCTACGTTGCAATTTCTGGGAAATGAGGGGTTTAGGTTGCAGATGTATTGATTGGATCTGTCATATACCGCAACTTCATATTCTGCTGCTTTTTAGGTGCTGTAGATAATTTTGTAAAGTACCTTTAAGCATTTTGTTTATTACAGATTGATTTTTGTGTACCATTCAAAATTAAGAGTTACTAAAATTTCTAATTACTAATCCTGATTTAAGCATGCATTGTTCTGAAGTTTTGTGTAATACTCTGAAAACATTTCTAGTGTTGTGTGTTTCTAATGAATAGCTCTCTTGGTTTTAACAAACTGAATCTTCTTCCCTTCAATTTTCTGAAGCAATATGGGATTGTATTAAGTTTTTTAGTCTTCAATTTTGCAATTTCTTCAGAGACAGCCAGCTGAGACTGTTAATTCAGTGTTCATTGTACCTTCTGTCTATGTAATCAATGAACATTGGGTTTTATTTACAAAAAAAGTGGTTTAGGGTAACTGATTTCTTTTCAAAATAGACCATGCAATTTTTTAAACACAGTTAAAAAAAAAAAAATGCAGTGAGTGGTTGCAGCTATATTTGCTTTTATTTTAGTCCCATACCCAGGTAGGGAGCATGGGCAATGTCAAGGTCAGTAGAATGTGAATGTGTCCAAGTTCAATGCAGACTCTTCTTGCAGTCAGTGCATCTTGACAAGCCCAGTTTTGTTATTCTAGAGCAGTAACTGACTTTGTCTCAGAAACACTGCTAGTTATGTTTTTTGCTCATGTGGTAAGTAGCACGTACCTCTATAATAAAATATGACAAAAATAACTTGTGTTCTGCATGTGTTTTGATCATGGTAGCAGTTACCTACTACATGCTTTAAAAAAAAAAAAAAAGTGGGCGTTAAGGTTGGACCTAATAACTGCTCAGATTTCCTGTTTGGCACTCATGCTTGGTATCTTATGGTTTTTCAGGGGTTTTTCAGGCCATTTTTGAAAGATAGCAGAGGATACCAGTTTAATAATAAATTGTTGTAGAGGCACTGTAGAGGTGTGAATATGAAAATCTTTCATTTTTTTCCCCCAAGATAATTTTGAATATAAAATGTCTGCCACTGTATATGAACTGGCAACTTTTCCCAGTTGTTTTTAGCATTACAGATTTAAGTAGAAATTGTCCTTTTTCAGATGATTTGCCCATGTGACTTACACTCATTTCCTTGAAATGGGATTCATTTTTGAATTATAGCCAAGATGCTCTCATCCCTAGGGCACCAGAAGTACCAGCAGAATTTAGCATAAGTAGAATTTCAAAACCAGAGTACCTAGAATGGTCTTGTTCATAAGAAAAGACAATCAGTTGGCTTTGATATTATCTAGCATGCTTTGTTCAAATGCATTCAGCTTTCACCTACCAATTCAAGGTGTTAATGCATGTAACTCACTTAAAGTGTAAATAAGTATTGCAAGCATGGGAGCAGCACTGCAAATAGTATGTATAATATTTCGTGCTGGATCCAAAGGAATAAATCTGTTAATTGTAATGTTGGCTTCTTTTAATGTGCATGGTAAGTTCAACCGCTATGAAGCGGTCAGATCTAAAAAGTCATTGGAAAATGCTATACATACATTATCACGTGGACAGTTGTGTGTAAACTGTGTTCATTATTTCAAAATAAGATTTAAATGTGTAATTTCAGGTTACCAGGTTTTGCCTAACCAGCAGCAAAACTACCAAGGTTTAGTTGGAGTTCATCAGTCTCAGAATCAAAATCTAGTCAGTGGCCAACACAACAACGTTGGGAATCAAATTCAAGGTGTGATTGTTCCGTATCCTTCAGTGCCATCTTATCAGGTGGGTAATGTATTCAGAACTTTCCGATTGCTCTTCTCTGTTTGCCTTTTTTTCTTTTTTTTTTTTTAGTACATTGCTTTGTAAATGGTAGAAAGCTGCAAGCAGGTGTCTGGGGACAGAAATTAAAAAAAAACCAAAAAATCCCACAGTTGAAGTGAAAAGAAAATCTGTCACAAGTGCACAAGTTGTAGTCATGGTGAAAGCCAAGTGCTGTGTTAATTGCAACTTAAAGGATGAAGAAGAAAAAGCTCATAAGATTTCCCTCCTTACCTCCCTGCTTTCTGTTGTAGAGAGAATCTTTTATTAATGGATGGAGTCCCTTGGAACCATCATTTCCATTTGGGGGAGGAGGGGATAAAAAGTTTTTTTTAATACAGCACTATTATTTCAACTACTGTTATCACTAGTCTTCTGGATTTAGACGACTCCAAATCTTTCAGTTTCTGGGGTTTTTTTTCTAAAAATTCTTACACAAACTAGGTGATGGTCAAGAAACAGAAACCTTGTCTGTAGAAGAAAATCTTAATGTGTTCTCAATTTTAGGTTTCGGTGCCTCAAGGTTCCCAAGCAGTGCCCCAGCAGACATATCAACAGCCTGTTATAATTCCCGGTCAGTCAAATCAAGGGTTGCCCACAACAGGGATGCCAGTTTACTACAGTGTCATTCCATCAGGTCAACAGAATAACTTAAGGTGAGTTGAACTCAGTTATTTGATTTCTCAGCAACTAGGCTTAATTGGACTGTAATAACTGACAGGATCTGCTATAGTATTGCATATATTAAAATAGATTTTAAAGGCAGAGTTACAGACACTTTATTTATTTTTGCTCTTATGCAGTGAACTGAAGCAACCAGTACTGCTTTAATGGAGACATACTTGTCAGACTGGATTCCATATCACTTTGAGCAATACTTTACCACAGTTTCACATCTTAAGTTTTCTACGTTCCTTTTCTTGTACATGAAACACCAGTGTGTTCTGTAGCAGTGCCTTTTTGCTGCAGTGTTTAAGATGACCATCCATATTCGCTGGTTTTGTCAAAGATACTACTTTAATAAGGTGTAGAGAAAAGAGAATTTGAATCTCAGACTTTGTTCCTTGTTTTTGGAGCTGTGTCTGGAAGGAGCTTGGTTTACTTTGTTGTTGCTAACGAGGCCTGCTGGCACAAAGCTGTCTATGAAATAAGTATAGGAACCTTCTATGCTTGGCTTTTGATAATTAACTTTTATTTTACCTACCTTGATAACAGCAAATTGGTCTGCATGTACAGAGCACCCCGTGTATACATGTATGTCCCCAACACAGTCTGAGTATTTTTGAGAAGGGATAGACAGATACCTAAAAGAATTTGTTAGGATTAATCCTTGATACAAATTTTTCTTTCTCTAGTTTTCTGAACTTAAAAATGTGCATCATTTAAAAATACCTTGCTTGCAGCTTTTAAACAAGCAGTAACAGTATGAAGCTTGCTTCATCCTTTTGTAAGTGCGGAGACTTAAATAGTATTTGTGTCATCACTCCATGGCTTCATCTACTTAAATCTGAATTCTTGTTCTTTGTATCTGAAGGTTCTTTTTATCCCTCTGTAGTTATATTTGAGGTTCAATGAAGTCACAGGTAGACATAATCCCAGACTTTTTTTAAAGTACGTTTTGTCACTTGATCTTTTGCATCATTTAGAATGTGTCTCTCTTTTGAACAGGGAAACATTTGTTAGGAATTCAGAGCAGGCTAGCAAGTAACGACAGCATCTTGCTTTAATCAAAATAGTTATGTTGCAGCACTTTGACAAGGAAACCAGGATACTGTTCTGCAGGAACTGAGTAGTGTCAAACCTACAGGTCACTACTGAAAACTATAATCAGTAGAGAGTTGAGGAGATGTGTGAAAGCACACATCCCATGCAGATAGAAAACCATCTGGTTTAGTTTTCACTGAGGTTTATTGGCTTTAATGGAAAGAAATCTTTAAATTAGAGCTATATAATTGAACTGTGGGACAAAGGATGGAACAAATGTCTTGTGATGAAATTGCAAGTCCAGCAGGTTTACAGCTACTTTTTTTCCACAGTTTGAAGTAATAATTTTTTTTTCTCATTCCCTCAGAATGTTTGCTTTATCAGATAGTACAGAAATAAGTACAGGATTGTGGTCAACCAGCCTGATGTCCTAGCTCTGGCTGCATGGTCAGTTAGTGGTATGACCAGAATTCACCAGTGTCTGTTACTTACCTGTTTTTTCCCTGAATGCCCTGAAAAATACCTGGAATAAATAAACTTTTACAGTTCCTACATATTGCAAACAAATGAAAGGTCGTTTATCTCCTTGAGTCACCTTTCTTCTCCCACACCTACTTTGGAAAAGCCATGGGAAGGCAACTGTCTCTTTAAGCTGGGTTACTTCACCCTGAAGCAGAGGTGTGCTCCCTTGGTGTGCTCACTAAGCTGGCTCAGCTGCACAGGGCCAGCCTCCACCTGAGGGACTGCTCCTGAAATCCTCATGGCCGGTTCTGTGGGGATCATTTAACTGAGAGTTAATTCTGGTTAATTGGGCAAGACAACAAATTGTCTTTTTATTATTATTCTACATGTCTTTATACTGATACAGCACTATCGACACAAAAACAGCATATCAAAAGAGGTGAATTAATATCGCTTCTTAATGTATGCAGGGTAGGTTCTTGCCAAGGAAGAGGTGAAACTTCAGTCTTCTGAACAATGAGTAGATTCAGGTGTAGGTGGGAATATTACCGATTTTAAAATTAATAAAATCTCAGTCATTTGCACTACGTGTAGACAGCAAATGCAGCAGTCATGATTAAATGTGTAGTAGAAATGCCTGTTAGTGATGTTCTTTTTATTATTATTATTGCAGTTCATCAGTAGGATATTTGCAGCCTCCTGGATCAGAGCAAATACAGTTTCCTAGAACATCATCACCGTGCAACTCTCAGCAGCTTCAAGGACAGCAGTGTGCAGGTTGGGGGAATACAGTTTTTAGTGAAAGACTTCAACAATGTCTAGCTATTATTATGCTGGGTGATTGGATATTTGTTATTAAGGGTTTGATTTAGAGTTAACTACTGTATTATATTTCCTTCTGTGATCCATTTTTTGAAGTTATGTTGGAGGGAGATTACCTTGACATCTCAAGTTGTTTATCATTGAAAGCTCTCACACTACTTCCTTAGAATTCAGTAATGAACATCATAATGCTTTACACATCTGCTGGTGAGTAGAGACGAACACAGGAACTATATGCTGTCAGCAGAATGACTTCCAGCTTTTCCTGAACAGCCGCATGGGTGTGAAAATTGTGAGATTTGGGTTTACATTTCATAGGATGAGCAAGGTACATTTTGGAAGCAGTATACTTGGCTCTTCTACTCAAGAAGCACTGTAGATTTCACTTAATGGAGTAGGAGGACCAATTTTCTTAAGAGTTCCTGAGGGTGAAAACTAAATATTCCGGGTTTGGACAGAGAGGAGAGGTAGCTCTTTGACCTGCTGAAAAGCAAATGAAATTACTCCAAAGCTGTGTGGGGTGTTCTGGTTTTGTTTTTATGGTAGCCTTATTTACTGCTTTTACTTCCATAGTTTATAGCAACCATTCGAGTCAGAAGCCATCACCTCCTACATTATTGCCACCTTCATCAAAGTCAAAGCCACAACAGGCTGCTTCCATTGTGCACTACAGCATAGTGTCTCCACCCTCATCATGTAAAAGTTCGCCCACTGGTCTTTCCATCATGCAGCCAATAAAAGGTATATTTTATTGGGATTTTCATCTAAGCCATTCTGTCTAGAAATCTGTTGTAAATTATCAGACTGATTTCATGGCTAACTGCCAGAACAACTGCAACCTGAGTGCCTTCTCTGTAAATACTTTTTTTTGGTATTTCTTCATCTGAATTGCTATTATTCTAACTTTTTTTCATGACAACTCTGAACTTAAGTGAAAAAATAGCCAGCTTCATGGGGGCAGCCTGGTGGCAGCCTTCAGCAGATAACTGTCACTTAGCAGAAGCACTTAAATAAGGTCTGGAATGTTTTGATCTACAAAGTATTTGGGTAATTTTCAGGAGGTGTATAAATGGCAGTGTTGATGGCATGTGAAAACAGTAGTGACAGAGAGCTTGTCATGTTCATGGAATGTTTATAAATGTTAAGATCCAAACACTTAAAAACTCTGAATTTCCAACCATAAAATTGATGGACTGATGGGAAAATTAAGAGCACTAGGGTTAGCCTCCAGACAAGATAGAACGATCCTGTGAGCGCAGCAGTACTGTCTTTATTTCACCAATAGGGAACTGGGTAGATGAGAGGTTTGGGTGGCCAAAAAGGGGCCATCTCAGATCATGCTGTCTCAGTATTTCACAAGCAACAGATTAAACAACCCAAGGTCAGTGACCTAGATTCCACTAGAGATGTGGTGTTTCTTATAAACATTTATCTTCTAATATATTTTTAGAGCCTGTTTATTAGTAAATAGATAACATGCAGTAAAGTGGCAAGATAGCCAGGTTAGCAGTGTATTACAATTCATGGGCAGGTTTGGTTTTGGTTCCATTTTGATTCAAGTTTGTCTGGCTTTAATTCTGGAAGACTGTTGCTTCAGGATGTCTGAAATCTCTCTCACACTAGTTTGTTCTACCTCCCTAATCTGTCCTGGAAGTGCTGGTTTCATACAGTTTTGAATGCCTGGTTCAAACCTGTTAAACTGTGACTTAAGTTTGGGCAAGGGGGAACCCCTTTATGACATAGGGAGAACAAATCTTGAGAGAATAAAGAAAAGCATGCTTTTCAGTAAGTGATGAGAGGATGAATCAGGGCCACTGAGGTAAGGACAATGAGGACGCACACAGCTAAGCAGCAGAGTTGTGTTTCTTTTCCTTTGAAAAAGATCAGACTGCAAATCTGGGAAGCCTTTCAAAGATTTCTTCTGGGCTTCCCTTCTCATGGGTTTTGACAGGTGATAAAGTGTCTGCAAACTGACTCATGCGTTCTATGACACTTCATTTTGCAGGATGCTTGTTTAGGAAAATAATTCCATTTATTTTCATTTCCTGAAATGCTGTGGAACTAGAAGTAGGGCAAAGAACAAATGTTTCCGGATGTACAGAGTTTTCTTTTGTAGTTTAAACGGTATTTTCAGATTGCGATACTTTTAGAAATGGTGCTGTAGATCGTTTCAAAAGACAAGCATGGTTTTGTTGGGTGTTCTGTTTTCACAGAACAGAGATAATTCAAAAGAGTATGCTAGAGTGCTGCAGAATGAAATACTAATATAAACCAGTAATATATAAGTAAGTGCATTTATAGTATCTATAAATATATGCATAAAATATTAAACTAAAATCAGTTTTCTTGTGTAAAATGTGGTGTGTGTATGTAGATGTTTGTTATCTCAGGTTTACATTTAGGGATTACAACTTTACACTTGGAAACTGTTATGTTATTCTGACTATATAGTAGATTTGTGGTAGTTTTATATTTTATTTTGCTGTGCAACAAAGTAGAAATATTCACAGTGTGGCCTTTATAGGAACAGAGCAGGGTCTCTTAAATTTATATCCTCTGCTAAAGTTAGCTAGTTATCTGATGCTTCCATTCAGATCTAACACATGGGTAAAACTTTTTGCCATTAAACAGAAAGTATAGATGTGAAAACTTTATAGAAATAAATGAAGTAATATTAACAAATATCAATATAGTAAATATTTCAGCATGCAATTTTAAAAAGCTAATACCATTTTAATATTAGGAGGTCATTATATTCTACATTGTTTGGTTTGCTTTTCGAAGGAGTCTTTTTGTGAAGCCCAGGGATAGTTAAAACAATAGCCTGTTTTAAAAAATGCAACGTGAATGCATTTTATAATCTGCATCTGACTGCTCCTAACTGATGCTGTGATGTAGGTGGTAAATTGAGAAGATTGTAGAGTTCTCCTTTAAAGGTAGATGGTTAAATGATGATGAAACCATGTGTATTAACTGTGGCCTCTGAGAAATGCTGAAAAGAGTGGGTAGAGCAGAGAAAGAAACTGCAACCAACCATTTAGAAGCAAACAGGACATTCTAGAAGTTACCTGGGCCAGAGCCAGGTCAAAGGGGTAGGACACAGCTGCTCTTGCGGGCAGCCTCTTGTCACAGCTCCTCACGAGAAACCTTTGGAACAGTGCTGGCTTTGGAGCTCCTCTCCCCTGCCTTTGGCCTTCCTGTAGCACAGCAGTAGCCAGGTGGTGCAGGGTGTGGGGATCAGTGTGCAGACTCTGCCCAGAAACATACCTATACAGGACTTAATAAATGTGGGCAGTTGTGCCTTGGACTAAAGATTGATTCCAGGCCTTTCTATATGTCATGTAAAACTAACTAGGCAATTTCTTTTTTTAAATAAAGCATATTTTTTGCTTACTATCACGTGTTCTTCAACACAGTGCTCTGACAGTAACTATGAATGGTGAATGGTGAATAGTTTCAACTACTATTAAATAGAATGATTTATTTTAAAAATATTCTCATTAATGAGTTTCAGTGGTTTCAGTATCTCTCCTAGTTCTGGGAAGCCCTCTCTAAGTTAACTATCACACATCTATCTGATAGTGGAAATGTAATTTTACAGAAGATACTGTTCTAGTTTTCTAGAATTCAGCAACTTCTTTAGGAAAACATTATGTTACTTCCCTTTTATTTTTTTGAAAATTCATGTCTGTTCGGATAAAATGAAAATTGAAATGCACGATGAACTAACTGTATCCTACTGCTTTCTTGTCTTGTAGCGGTAGCACCACCACCAGGTGGAGGAGTAGTAATGATGCAGCTCAATATCCCTAACAACCCTCAGCCTCGCAACCATTCACCTCCACAGTGGAAACAGAATAAATATTACTGTGATCATCAAAGGGGACAGAAGTCTGCAGAACTTAGCACTTTAGACAGTGCTGCGCAGGTAGGAGGGGTTTGGGTTGTTCTTGTAAGGATAACTTACAATTTGCATGAACTGCATCTTTGCATGTTTTTTCAAAAGTTCTTTTTGCAGAATAAAAATCTGCCCTGAGAATACTTATTTAATACTTCAGTCTTTGAATGGTGTAGGTGATGGTTAGCTTGTCCAACTAGGTACTTTTTAAAGCACTAACTTGTTTGTTCTAGTTGCAGCACAGTCCTCAACTAGGTAGTCCTGTCACCTCACCGGCCCAATCACCAGCACCAGCTCAGCTATCAAACATGAAGAACATCCGTCCCACACTGACACCTCTTTCTATTGTGCCCCAGTTTTCTAGACCTTTTGTCCCTGGACAAGGTATATTTTTAGTTAACTAAAACGTGTGTCTGTTTTCTATTTGAATGTTTTAAAATACAAGTTATATGAGGATTTTCTGATGAACTGTGGCTCACTTCAGTAGTATTGCTGTTGAAGCAGGATCATCAAAATAATCCACTCAAGCATCATGTAAAATTTCACCTTATTTCTCTGTACTCTCAAAAGCTTTTGATTATCTTGTTATTGTGAGAGCTTCTATAACCCACTAGCTTTCTCACAGGTGAAACTCCCCCTTTCAGCACTGAAAATATTAATGTTTGATACAATTTAGCTTCAAGCTTTAATCAAGAACTTGACACACACTGTCATAAAGCATGTAACTTTAGAGCTACAAAGATAAAATAAATAACGTGGGACTAGCTGACTGTAATACATTAGGTGAGCATATTATCTTTTGGGGTAAAGGATACAGAAATGCAATGGTGAGACAAATGTTCTACCAGACTCGCTTATTAGTTGATGATGCACTGAATCAAACCAGTGCCTAAGCAGGAATTTTTAATTCCTTTGTAGAAAAACTAGCATGATGGGATTAGAGCCTCTAGCCAATGCTGTTGCTACTTCAATTAGTATTTCAGATAGTACCCACCCAAAGACAGAAAAAATTCCTTGTAGAAGAATTTCAATCCTTTGCTGCCATGTTAACAGAAAAACAGAAAATAAGGAATTGTCAGAGATGTGACAGTTGATGTTTAACAACCAAATGATAAAAAACCCCTGTTAGTGAGCAAAGACAAACTCAAAATTAGTGGATCTGTTTTACAGAAAGATTTCCTTTAAAGCAGAACTTACACAAAATTCTGTATGTCTTCCTTATTGATAAAGAAAACCTTAATTTCTTGTCTGTCTTATCTGCTGCATAATCTTTTAGTTATTTATATTGCTTTGTATTCTGATGTTGTAAAAATTCCAGGTTGCCTGTTGTGAAGTATACCACTCAACTTTATTAATCTTCTGTGATTACTAGAAACTTCTATTCCATTGTCATTGTGGATCCTTGGAGCAAACAGGAATGTGAAGATGCACCTGCCTCTAATCAGGGATATAACCATGGAAAGGATTAAATTAGTTCACTGAGAGGAGCTTTAGCCTTATTAAGTTCATTTTGAAATGAGAGGATTTAGATAAGACTGCAGTGAAGAAAAACTTTTAGTGTGTGTTTCAGTGTAATCCTTAAATGCAAGAAAGCTTGTACCTTTTCACCTTGTGATTGGTACGTGACTGACGGACTGACATTTATTTGATCATGCCAAATGTTATTTTGTTAGCCTAGCCAAATGCAGTACTCAGTGCAGAGTTATTCTGCTCTCTCTTCTGTGTACAACATACATTGTAAGAGGAACCTGGAGGAAGATTTCATATAACAAAACCCCTTGTAATTACCTTTCTCTTCAAGGAGATGCCAGATACCCATTGCTTGGCCAACCCCTGCAATACAATCCGCCATCTTTGTTACGTGGACAAGTAACAAGCCAACAGGTATTGAGAACAATCTCCTGGCAACACTGGGGAAAAAAAAAATGGTTCAGGACTACCTTTATAACCACCACGAACAGGGGAATATGCTATCGCATGAGGAAAGGAAATGAGTGGAAGGTGCTTGTTTTCCAGTAACAGTTTATTCATTTGCCAGCACTTCCAAAAAATCAGAGAGAATATTTGCTAAAAGGATTTTCTTTTATATGAATAACTAAAAAAAACCACAACACCCTCCCCCCCAAAAAAAACCAACCCACAAACCAAACAAAAAAACCCCACCAAAAAAAAAACCAAAACAAAACAAAAAACACACCCTCAAAAAAACCAAACCACCCAAACAACCACCCACAAACAAACAAAAAAACTGATGTGGAAATTTCTAAACAAATGGGTTTTGCTTCTTAGTAAAAAAAACCCTAAACCCAAAATATTAGTGTTAGCTGCCATTTAATTTTGGGGACAGGCACACAGACCCCCTATCTCTGCCTTGCTCAGTTCTACCTGGGATCAGCCAGAAAATGTGATGGGTGGGGTTTTTCCAAGATTTGAGGTGACACTTTTTTTCATCATTTTCTCCCTTTGTTCTGAAGCCAAGGATTTAATGTGCCTGACTGCAGGATTGATAATCTCCCAAGACTAAAATTGGACATGAAAATCTTTCCTGTACCATTGTAGCACAGGTCATTTTCCAGACAGTCCTCTGCGTTGTCTTTCACTGAGCTAACCTAGAAATTTTAAGATATTGGTGCACTGTCATTCAAGTACATAATTTCTGCCAATCTTTCCAGTGTCAACCTGGAAACAGACATGGAAACAGGGGAAAGAAACCAGCAAAGAAGGCTGCTTCAGCAGATCTTGGTGCAGGAGAACCAGGTATAAAATAGCTGATTGATGCAGTCCTCCAGAAAAATGAATTATGGTGATGGGCTGGGAATGTAACAAGAAAAGCACAGGGGAGAAAAGGGCCAGAATGAAGAGTAATTGGATGGAAATGGACGTGGTAAACACTGGAGATGTAAGGATGGACAGGAGTACTTGATTTGGAGAGAGGGGAGGGGGGGATGTTAAATGAGAAAAGGGTAGTTTTGAAGGCTGCAGAAAAGACAAGATCAGGATTGGATGGTACTAAAAAGGAAAAACAAGTTTGTCACTTTACTGGACATAAGTTCTATTATATTGTTACACTAAATATACATACCCCTGCTTCCTTCTACTTGCATGAAAAGTAAAATGAAACATAAACTACAAATTAGTTCGTGCTTTTTTTTTTTTCTCCCAGATGGATTTCGGGGGACATATTAGGACAGCTACAGATTAGCTGCTTGGAGTAAGGAAAGATGTCATCCAAATAAAACCTGACATCTACATATCTTTACTGGAAATAATTTTTGTTGTGTTACCTGCTATCAACTCCTTGCAGAAAGTTACAGATAAATCAGCTTTTTCTAAGCGTTTACTGAGAAGAGATTCTAGTTTCTTAGCACAGTGGTGTGTGAAGAGTTAACAGGCAAAGCCAGTGAGATATGCTATAGTGAGCTGTCAGACTTGCTGCAAAATTAGGTGTTGATTATTTTTCCCTCTCTCTCTTGAGGGCCCTCTGTATTCTCAGCTTTTATTTGAACACTTTCAGCTGTACGCAGTGCTAAATGTGAAAGCAAAAGGCTCTAGAACATCAAAAATGGAATGCCTGTGTATTTTTTATCAGCCAAGTGGAGATACAATTATGAAATAACTCTTTCAGTTCTATTTGTCATATCGTTAAGTAAAATGACAATTTAGATTCACTGTGGGTTTTTTTGTTTCAGTTGTGGGAAAAGTTCTAGAAATTACTGAGCTGCCAGAAGGCATAACTCGTGTGGAAGCGGAAAAACTATTTGGAGAACTTTTAAAAGTTGGTGCCAAGATCCGGTGGCTAAGGGATTCACAGTGTCTACAAACACAGCAGCAGCAGCACCATCGTCGTTACTGTGGCAGTGGAGACAGTGGTGTGAACACTGAGCCATCCAAACCTAGTGACTTGGCTTCCACTTACACGGTTCTAGCTACGTTCCCTACAATGTCAGCTGCTCAGAATGCGTTGAAGAAACAAAGTAGTACCTCAGTGAACAAGTTCAGGCTGAGAACAAGCAAGAAGCACTACGACTTTCATGTTCTGGAAAGGGCTAGTTCTCAGTAGCAGTTACATCAGTGGACACTCAGCCTTTACTACTTCCATGTCCTCCGCTCCTTGATTGGCTTGATGTTTTGGGGTTGCTGGTCTCTTCGCAGAGACTCCGGGGATGTTTTGTCATATGACATTAGCCATTGAAGAATAAATAACCCAGTGATCCAGCAAGATGAAGAAGAAAAATACAGAGTTAATCCCAGACAACAGCAAGGAATCATCTTTAAGACAGGCAGCTTTCTACAAGGAATGCTGTTGGAATGCCCCCTACTTTTATAGTAGTTTTGTTTTATATTTTTGAATTCTTGTATCAGATCCAAAGTTCTATTGTACAGCAAACGTTCATAAAAATCCATATTCAGATTTGTATTTTATAAGCCCTTTTCACAGCCAGCACACAGCTGTCCATTCCAAGGCAGGAACCTGAGGATTGGTAGAGGGGAAAAGAGAACCATTTTCAAGAAACTCCACTCATTTTCTAGCAAACTACCCCAAATCTTCAAGTTAAACTGTTCTTTGTCCCTTGTGATTTTGTTTTGGTTTTTTTTTTCCTTTGGTAAGAAAAAAAAAAATATATAATTTTAGTAACTAACTCCTTAGATGGTCATTTTCTTTTGAGATTCATTCAAGCAGTGTCAAAAGAAATTACAAGTAGGTTGTACCCTTGAAGGATTCACTTCTGATCCAGCAAGTTTAGTAATTATTTAAAGGAGAATATGAATAAGTTTCAAAGAATGTTCACTGAATCACATTTTAATATTTCTTCTTTTTAGCAAAAATGTGAAGAAACTAAAATATATCTTCACAGGTGACAAAATGTTTGCACTTTAATTGTGTTCCCACCAGTATGGATCTCTTTCTCTTCCTTTTCACGCTAAGATAATTGTGTTTAAGTGCTGGAAACCTTTTTAATGGTTTAAGTTTTCATCATTTGCAGATGCTCACTGGACGTTAAAAGATTCATTGCACATAAATGAAACAAACTTTTTTCAATTTGTGTAATTTGCAAGGCTGTACAATGTGTGCTGATGCAAGCCTTTTTCAGTTCAAGAAAATAAATGTTTACAAACAAACTTTTTCAGTGCCCTTGTTTAAACTTCTAGGAGTCTTCTGAAACCTGGATGAACACACATTAATGGTTTGGATCCCTTCAAATATGAGAAAAGAACTTTAAAATAACACAAATACTAGAAGTTCTCAAAGAACCACTACTGCTCTTCCTCTTGAAGCATTTATTTATGTTATCCTGCCCTTCATCATTTTAAAATGTTTCCCTATGTAAGTAAAAAGAGAGAGAAATTGATCAGACACCATAAGGGACTGCTCCTGTTTTTTTTTATTTTTAGGCCAAGCATTGATTTGCTGTGCAGAAGAGCAACTACTTGTTCCCTTCTTAAGGCTATCACTTTGTAAAAGATGCATTTCTAACTTCTGTAAGCAGGAACTCAAGGCAAAAGTTATGTTTAAAAACATTTTACAGAGGAGAAGTAAAGCGTGGATTTCAATCTGGTACACAAAAATTCCTAGCCCTGAACAACCACACATAAACACATGAAGTGGCAAGAACAGTCCTATGTATGTTCAGTTCTTAAATCCTTTGTGTGATGAATCCAAGTACTAGGAAGAAAACTGACCTGTCTGGGAATAACGTAGCCTAATAAATTAGGTCGGTGGGATTTGATTCTGCAAAATGCTGTAGCAACAGGCATGTATGTGACTAATGGTAAACTTACATGCATATTCCACTCAAAGAGGGGGAAATGTTCAGCTTTGAACCCCTAGCTGAAAGCTGAACTGACTTATCCCTATCTGTTTTTCTAAAAGGATGGTATTTCTGAGCATTTGAGTTCTTAGGCTACTGCTTGACTGAATATACTACTTGAATGAGGGGGATATGTGTCTTCCTCCTTGGGTTGGATTGCTGTAGTTCACTGCCCCCAAAACCAAAGATAAGAGCCCTAGCTTAGGCAGATGATAAAATTCTCCTCCTCTGAACAGCCCCAAGAGAATATGAGTAACACACAGGTTCCATCACGGCCTCTTGCTCATTTCCATTTAAGATTATGGTTTTAATCCTGTAAAAGTAGTTAACAGATTAAAGGTCTGTAATGACAGGTGTCACAGCCTAGCGAGGCAGCTGCCTCCTGTGGCTAACACATTCCAGGACAAGGTTATCCATGGTTGTTGAAGAGCAGTCAAGAGCTGAGAGCTTCCATCTATTCTGAATGACCTAAGAACTAAATCTAACATCAAACCATTTCCAAAGAATGCTGCATGACTTCATTTCATAACTTTTCCCATAATAACCACAGAGAAGCAAGTGTAATGAGAGGTAAGCATGGAGAACACAAGCAATCCAAACAATGGGAGGGGAAGAATACATTGATGAGCAATAAGGCCCAGCAAATATTTAATTCATAGAATCACAGAACAAGCCAGGTTGGAAAGGACCTCAAAAGATCATCTGGTCTAACCTTACACAGGAAAGACAGCCTAGGTAAGATAATTCTTATCGAGTAAGTTGTAAACTTACCCTGGAAGAAAGAATTAAAAGATTCAAATCCTTAATGTGATACTTAACCTACAATTACTGCAGGCAGGTCCCCCTTCCTGAGTACATTTCCCCCTGTAAAACAGGGGCAGTTAAATTTTTTTTTGATCTGTACATGCTGATATGAGCCACACAGAAATAATTAACAGAACTTCAGAAGTGTCAAATGCCTCTGATGTCTACAGGGGGCACAGAAACTAAGTACTTCTGCTTTACAATATTGTTCATTCTCAATTTTGTGCTATTTCATTCTCCCTCTAGTAAGTGAATGGGGTGTAAGCTCTAACCAAGCCCATTTGTACCTTCCTGGCTTTCACACTTCTGCCCCTTTTTTTTTTTTTTACTTAAAACACACAAGCCTCAGGACTGTATACAAAACCCATGGCACTAGATTTGTTCCAGAGATTTGGATTATGTTCGAGAAAGCAAATAAATGCACTTTATGACATGAAATAGACGTTGTCTGTGAAAGTAGCATTCTCAAATTTTCTAGTCCTCTAGTGTATTTGAGCTTCCTGTCATTTACCATTAAAGCCATTTTAAAAGCAAACAGTGGCAAAAGGGATTAAGTGGGGACTTAAATTATATTGCAGTAGTTTAATACATTTCATTTGATTGGGAACACATCTTACAACTTTTACAGCTGAGGAAAAAGCACTGGAAGAACAACCAGAAAAGCCAAACCAACCTGGCTATTACCCACTCCACCAAAGGCTACTGTGTCTTGATTTTAATTTTTAATTGATATGGTTATATTACTGTGTGAAATGCATCCCCAAGCTGTGATCAGATTCAGCGTTATTTGTGATATTACATTAAAATTGATAATACAGTATTAGGAAAACAAATTTAAGCTCCATACTCTAGGAACACTCTAACCCCCCAGCTGTGTGGTTGGATTCGGGTGGATGGTAATGGCACACCCATGAATCTGCTCATAGCCTCCACATGGCTGCTGAGCTGCAGCCTCACGTGCCTCATGTTTCAGTCAGACTGGACTGGTATGAAGTGAAACGTTGGCAATGGGCATCTTGCATCTTACCTGAGACTCCCTGAGCAAATTTAACCTATTATAATCTGAAATCCTTTTCTTTCATTCACACACTTAGAAAATTATCTAAGAAGAGAAACAGGGGATCATCTACGAAGAACGAAATATGGCAGGGTGGTGTACTGAAGACTGTAGGGCTTAAGTGTTTCTACCTGCAACCACCCCTAGTCCTACTGGCCTGTGGTTGTTTCAAGACCCAGGTGGTACAGGGCAGTGGTATGTAGGTGGGAGTTCAGTTTTGTCAAATCACAAGAATTGTTTAGCTTGATGAATCCAATAAGGTACTTTGATATACAACATGCCTTTCTTCTTTTTTTTTTTTTCCTTGCACTATTCAAATAACTATATACTTTACCTATCTAGTAATGCAAGCCGCTTCCCTCTCAAGGTGGCATAAATAGATACATTCTCATGACACTCATCTGTGCCTTAAAACTTCACATTTGACATGTTTGTTGTTTTGAGTTAATCTTGTACCACCTTGTTTGGATGTCTGAAAGGGAGTCATAATTAAAATTGCAACTAACTTCTTTTATAAATATCTATTTTAGCTCCATGACTTTTTTTTTTTCCCCTAGAAAACTGGTATGGGCTGTTATTTCCTGTATTTAATCCTAAGGCAAAGAATGTTTATATCAAGTTTTGGAGAAAATTGATCACCTTTATGTTTCAGGTCACAAAAAATTACTGTAGCTGAAATTTTTATGTTTCTACCTGAGAAAGGACTTAATTCAAACCCTTCAATGTTTCTACAGCTCAGTCTTCATGAAAGTTGATGTGCTGCCTCTGTTCAATATGGTGTTCCTACTCACATTTAAAATGGTTTGGGGATTTTTGGCTATTGATGTCTGCAAGTATAAAGTTAAACCACACACTGTCAATGTGACTTCGTTTTGGAAGCCTTATTTCTTGGATGGAGACCAGAAGCCTTAAAAGGGCCTAATTTCCAAAACATTCTGAAAATTAAGTCCCTTTAAGTTCTGGTATTCTGGAACCTGAAAGTCATTATTCACATCTGAAAACTTCAAATGCAAGGTCCAGTCTAAATGAAGTTGCCTCTTGGCTCACTTGACACTGTATGCAATCACGTTCTTACACATATGAGCCTCCTTTTAGTTCAACGTCTGCCTTGTGTGTTTAGGCTTGTAGGGCTGGAGTTTGGACCTGACTTTGTTTGGCAGCCCTTTATTAGCCCTTTATTTTACCCCGCTTGTAACTACTTGATGTTTTGCGATGTTTGCCGTTTGTCAAAATTTCTCAGGTTGATCTTGCTTAAGAGTGGATCTTGCTTAAGAGATAATTGTTAAAATTTGGTCCAGGGCACAAACACTTTAATGTTTGCCGCTTTTTTTCAATTTTCAGTCTTACTGGTAAAGCACACAAGCCTAGTCATTATATGGGATGCATGCAACTGTAATGAACTATTTCTGCACTTCTGAAGAGAAACTTGAATGTCAGATAAGACTAGTGCTGTAAACCAAAGAGCTATATAGGAAAAATCTGTATGTTGCTGACAGATGTACACTTTTAAAACTGGTATAAATTATAAAAATAAACTGTGCTGCTGTGGATAATGCTTAACAGTGAGGTTTATTCTTAATTCAGTTCCCATGCCCTAGTTAAGTGAGAATCTGAATTAGACTTGGGATACACTGTGCTGAGAGTAGCAAAATTTTTCAGACTCAGGTCCAATGGAGGTGGAAGGCATGCTAGAAGCTGGCTGAAGCATGGACTAGCATCAACCCTAAGTGATCAGTTATATTTGAGTTCCTAAAATTTCTTGTCAGCTAACATTAAAAAAAAAAAAAAAAAAAGCAGCAGTATTATACATCATACTTGAATTACAGAGGACTTCAGTTTGAACTTGAGAGGGGAGACACTGGCATTCTGCTTCTTTCTGTATCAACTTTTGCACTGGTTGGAGGGTTAATTAGGGAGGTGGTATACAGTACAGCCTTGCCCTTCTGATGGTCTCCAAATTATCTACTCTAAGAAACAGCATTAAGTCTGCTATGATAATCTATCATACTGATTTGTACAGACTAGGAAATACACCAGAGCTTGTCTCCTTGTTCACTCAAATTTGTTGCCTATTTACTTGGCTTAAAGTGATACTTTGATTTGTTAATGAACCATTGATTGGTTGAAGCAACAATGCAATTTAAAAAAAGAATTGACTAATAAAAATATTTTCCTTTTTCCTTTTTCATCCAAGTAGATCTGTGC